TAAATTGATAAAATAAAAAAACTAAATAAATAAATAAATAAATAATAATAATAATAAAAACTAAATAAATAGATAAATCAAATAAGCAGTCCGAGACGAGGGGTATCCCAGCAAACTCTGTTTTGGATAGGGATTGCTAGACTAAAAGTAAGTATATTGCAAAAAAAAAAAAAAAAAAGTAAAATTGAAAATAGTTCATTATCCCGGTCTAATTTTTTTATCCATCTGTCCCAATAACTATAATAGTAGCCCTTCTTTGGGGCAAAGTTCGTAATAGCTCGTTCCATTTTGCACTGAAAAATGCTTTGATGGTGAATCTTGGCCCAGCTATCCACCCTAAGAGACTTCCAATTTCTGGCTATTGATGTTTTAACTGCCATTAGGATATGAAAAATAATTGGTCTGAATTCTCTATTAATCAGTCCCATATCCATAAGGCCATATTTGAAGTCAAATTCAATTTCTATTCCAATAAAGTTGACAAGTATTGGTTTGTCATCTCCCATAAAGGTCTGATTATCGGACAGTCCCACCAAATGTGTTTAAAATTTGTGGTTGATTCAGTACATCTCCAACAGTTAGGAGGGACTGTGGGATACATTTTTGTTATTTTTTTAGGAGTTCTATACCATCTGTTTAATATCTTATAGTGAGTTTCATTTATATTCAAACAATGGCAAGCTTTGTATAATGTGTTAAGGGAGTTAGTCCATTCTTTCATAGTTATATCTATTTTCAAATCAAAATTTCATTTAATTATTGCCGAGGGAATTGATTTGATCTGAGCCTTACATATACATTTTTGGCATTTATTGACTAGATGAGTATAGTCTGATTGTTCATATATATCCGAAAGAAACTTAACTGAAGGTTCAAGAGGATTAAATCTCAAAAATGTTTTTAAAAAGGATATTACCCGTATATAGTTAAACCATTCGATGGATGATATATCATATTTGGTTTGAAGTTGTTCAAAAGATTTTAGTGTACTTCCTCTCAGGATATTAGACATCTTTTCTATACCCTTAAGGATCCATGTTTCCAAATTTATATTTGTCATTAAATTTGATAGAATATCTAGATTTATACCAGGAATTATCTTCATTTTTAAACCTATTTTTTTTTTAAATTGAGACCAGGTGGGGAAAATTTGTTGGACTATCAGTGATTTGGAATTTTTAATAATTTGATCTGTTTCTTTATCTATGGACTATAAGAGGGATTTATAATCCCTGTCTCCCGAAGTTAGGGTCTGTTCTCTTTTGTACCAATTTTGAATTATAGAATCTTTCTTATTTACTAGTAAAACATGTGCTAAAAGGTTGGCTTGTGCAATATCTTGAATAATTAGAATACTCATACCTCCTTCATTTTTTCTCCTAGACATAATGTCTTTTTTTATTCGAGGTTTTTTACCTGACCAAATAAATTTAGTAAACGATGACTGAATTAATTCTAACCAACTGTCAGGGATTTTTAAAGGAATCATTCTCATAATATATGAAAATTTCGGTACGATATATGCTTTTAATGTATTTATTTTCCCTGACCAGGAAATTTCCAGATTTTTCAATTTTTTTAAATTGACGTTCATTTCTTTAATTATCGGTAAAATATTAATTTCTAACCATTTCTTTGGGGTTTTTTGAGATTTTTTTAATACCCAAATAGATGAAAAACTTTTATTTGTTTAAATCCATATTTATTTTCTATATTATCAATATTATTTTGAGGTGTATTTAAATATAGTGACATAGATTTTTCTGTATTTATTTTATAATTAGAAAAATTACTATAATTTTGAATGATTTGCACAACATGATCAATAGATTCCTCAGGTATCTTAATAGTTATCACAACGTCTTCAGCATATAGCTTAATTTTTTGGTTATTATTATCTCCAAGCCCTTTTATATCCTGATTAGCTCTTATATCAGCAGCCAGGGGTTCAATCGATAGAATGTATAAAAGCGGTGATAGGGGGCAACCCTGGCGTGTACCGTTTGTAATTCTAAACCATTTAGATTTAATACCAGGGCCTACAATTCTACCTTGGGGATCACTATTTAGGGCCATAATGGCACTGAGTATCTCACCTGTAAATCCAAAGGATAACAGGGATTCTCTAACAAATGCCCAGCTGACCATGTCGAATGCTTTCTCTGCATCCAATGACAGGGTCAGCATGGGCGTCCATTCATCTCTGGCCTGTTCCAATATTCCAATCATATTTCTTGTATGGTTAATAGAGAGTCGTCCCGGAATAAAGCCCACCTGGTCTCTATGTATTATGTAACTAACCACTCGTTTAACTCTATTTGCCAATATTCCCGCGTATAACTTGATGTCTTCATTTAGTAGGGAATTCGGTCAGTAACTGTCTACTTTGTCTGGATTCTTTCCTGTTTTTAATATTGGAATAATGTTGCCTTTAAGCATTTCTTCTGGAATTTTAGTTTTCAATACGAATTCATTAAAAGTAGTCTCTAAGTGGGGTGATATTTCATTTTTAAATAGTCTAAAGAATATCCCTGTGAACCCATCTGGACCTAGTGCTTTATTAGATTTTAAAGTTTCTGTCCTTGTGTGTATTTCATGTAAAGATATCGGAGCATTCAATTCCTTTAGTTGGGATTCTGAGATCTTTGGTATAATCATGTTTTTAAAATAATCCTTTGGGTCTGCATAATTGTGGGGAAGATTATATAATTGATGGTAATAATCATTGAAAGATTTCCAATTCTCTCTGGAGATAGACAAGTCTCGTCCTTATATATAATTTTTGAGATTTTTTTATGTTTAATTTCTTTTTTAAGTCTGTTGGTTAACAGTCTATCTGCCTTGTTACCGCTATAATAGAATGTTGCTTTTTATCTTTCTAGTGTTTTCGAGACTTTCTTTATTCGCAAATCACTAATCCTATCTTGTAGATTAGAAATTCTATTGGATAACTGCTCAGTTGGAGATATTTTATCTCTTGAAAGATTATATAGTTAAATTTGTAGTTTTGTTAAATCTTTATCTCTATATTCCTTATTTTCGGAAGCTAGTTTGATTAATATTCCCCTTATCACCGCTTTATATGAACACCATACTCCTGAAGGGGAGATCTGCTCAGTTTGGTTCTCTTTGAAATAGTATTCGGTCTGTTTCTTAATTAATTCTATATTATTTGTTTTTGACAAAATATAAATATTTAATCTCCATTCTGGCTTTGGGATTTCAAAGGTATCTTTGACATCCAAAATACTGCATTGTGATCTGACCATATAATCTCATTTATTGTAATGGCTTTTGTTTGTTGGGCTAGTTTAATATCAATTTTCTGGTACAGGCAGGGAAGCCATCAGACATTTTGGTGTCCCTGACACAGATCAAGGTCTGGGCCCCCAGGTCCACCCAAAAGAACACCCTTGAGTCTGCCCACAGGGCCAGCCAAGTCCGCCCACAGGGATGCAGTGTCTGTACTGATTGTGGTGTGTGTATAGTGGATGTAGAATGTGTGACGTGGATGCGGTGTGTGTGTGTAATGGTTGCAGATTGTACGTTTGTGTAATGTATGAGGTGTATATTAGATGCAGATTCTGTGTTTGTGTAGTGGATGTATTGTGTGTGTATACTGAATGTAGAGTGTGCGTGTATGTCTAGTGGATGCAGTGTTTGTGTGTATTAGATGCAGTGTGTATAGTGAATGCAGAGTGGGTGTTTGTGTAGTGATGTAGTGTTTGTTGTAAATGCAGTGTGTGTTTGTGTAGTGAATGCAGAGTGTGTTCTTGTGTAGTGGATGTAGTGTGGGTGGGTGTAGTGGATGCATAGTGAATGCAGTATGTTTGTGTAGTGTATTTAGTGTGTGTATAGTAAATGCAGTGTGTGTTTGTGTAGGCATGTAATGTGTGTAAAATAGGGGGGATGGCATTTTAAATTTTTAACATGTATTTTATTATCCCCTCCCTGCTTCTCCCTGGTGATTGGTGCCAGCCGTAGTTCACAGCAGAGGGGGCACAGCATGTGGCTTGCGTGCCGCGCGGAGCGTTGTCATGGTAACCCGTGGCAACACTCTGACAGCGGTGAAACTCGCGAGAGTTAGAGACAAGAGCTGGGGCAGTGAATTCAGAGTGTGCTGGGCCCCCTCTGCTGTGAACAGGTAGCTGGGGACACGCAGGTTTTTTTGTGGCCCACATAAACTTAAACCTTGTTTATGTGGCCCATGCCAGACTTTGTTTGACATGCTTGCTATATGGTGTTCAAAGTTAACCTGTCATGACAGTTTCACCTTAACAGATAACAAATTAATGGATATATCAGTCATCATGAGATTCCCATAGATTTCTAGAAAATGTAAGTGCAAGATGCACATGGTGAGGAGAAATCACAGCAACTACAGTGCAAATCCCAGCAACTACAGTGTATTACTGGGGCTGTAAGGGAGACCTTCCTGTAGGTCACCCAGTTATAGGCTTAGAAGGCGGTCATATATGTATGGTTTTCTCTGAAAAATACTCTATTGACAAGTGGGTGAGGAACCCACAAGTTGTTTTTTTAAACAAGTTTTATAAAAATCTGAGTATTTCTACTTAACAGAAACACATGAATGGATCCTTATGACTTTGCTACAAAATGTGGAGTGCTATCACAGGTACGCATAACAGTTAGCTAATTCACCGTTTCATTATGGATTTTTAATATTATAAAATTAGGACGTAGGACGAGGAATTCGTGCGTGTTGTGTGCCTTGCTGTCATTTGCTCACGGTCTGCGTGGAATTCGCGTCACTCGCAGGTAGAACAGAGTTCTAAACGCACGAGACAAACCGCAGCCCTATCTTCGCACAGGAACCATTTTGGCGAAGTTACATTTCGTGCACACTGCATTTGAGGGACTTTGCACACAGTGGGGCCACTTTCAGAGCTGTCACAATGCAAGCATCGTCTCTGGTGTTTAGCGCTCGGTGACACCATTGCCCATTTCCCTATTCTGTTTACCATAATCCACACACAGCCTGAGCCCACATCCCAGTACTCTCTCTCCTCACTAACTGAGGTAGAGTCACCCTGGCTGCACTCCCCTCCTCGGAGCCCGAGAGTTGCCCGTAGCAACCTATACAGCAGTCGTCGTGGTGCCCGGCGCGCTGACGTCAGAACCCCGCGCAAGCGCGCCTCTTGCAGTGCGGCGACGTGTGACGTAATTTGCGGTGGTGGGTGCTCGAGCTCCGGCGGTTTGATTCCCTCCTGCCGTTCGGTTTCCGTTGCCCGCGCAGCGCTCTATACAGAGGTCACGGAGCGCAACTTCCTGCAGGCAGACACAGAGCGGCCGCCCCCTCCTCCAGCCCGGACACACAGCACGCAGCCCGACCCGGTAACCGCCATGAGCGTGGAGGCGTACGGCCCGAGTTCGCAGACCCTCACCTTCCTCGACACGGAGGAGGTCGAGCTGCTCGGGGCCGACACTCAGGGCTCGGAGTTCGAGTTCACCGACTTCACGCTGCCCAGCCAGACCCAGACACAGGGCCAGACGCAGAGCCAGCTGGACGGACAGGTAGGCCGCACGGCTTCCGGGAGACACAGGGAAGGAGGGAGGGAGGGAAGGAGGGTGACGGTGCGGCCTAGGGGGACCTCGTGTGTCCTGTGCTGGCACCCTGCCCCGGGCTCAGAGCTGGCAGGCTGGATCCCTAGTGACCCCGGCCGCCTGGGACCCTGCCCTGGATAATATGACCGTGTCATGACTCCATGGGAAGTGCTGTGCCCCATGTGTTACCGGGAGCACTCACTGCATGCCTCCAGCTCTGAGTGCGCACTCAGGGCCCGGGGGGGGAGGGCTGATATTGCCTGTTACCTTTTTAAATTATTTTATATTTTTACGTCTGCATTGGATTTCTTAAAATCTTTGTTTCCAAAGTTGGGCAAGTGTTTTGGCATCGTGTTAATGTTATAATTCTTAATATTACTAATAATGTAAAGCTCCTCAGAATAAGTTGGAGCTATTTGAGTGTCAAAAATAGTAATAAGTAATCTTGACATGTTGTTGGTATAGGCTCTATAGTTTATTGTAGTGGTGAAGTTTCTTTTTTGGGCCACTTGGCGTTTGTCAGGAGAATTGGAAATTTTGTAAATTGTAATTTTATATCACGCAAAATGGACTCCCCTTTCAAATATATTCTTATTTTTAAACCATTAACGACAATTGCACACGTTACGGAATTTTGGAATGTGGGTATATTTCAATTTTATAGTTGTAGTTTTTGTATGTGTCAAGATTGAGAAGGCTGGATAGCTTCTTTATAGAAGATGAAAGCAGAACTGTTTTTTTTCTGTAGAGTAAGAAGATGAGCGCAATACATTTACGCACTTCTGTCAACAATTATTGTATTTATGTAGCGCCATCAGATTCCGTAGCACTGTACACTGGGTGGACTAACAGACATGTAATTTTAACCTGACAATTGGACGTACAGGAACAGAGAGGTCGAGGTTCTAGAAGGAGTGGGGTATAGTGACACAAAGGGTAAAAGCTGGGGTACAAAGTAGGTTGTTAGAAAAGTATTAATTGAGGGCTTAGGTAATTTTTGACAGTTGCGGGAGAGGCGTCATGGGGGATAAAAACCTAACAGTTTAATTGAAATACTTTCTTGAAGTGAGTTTTCAATGATTTTTTTTTTTTTGAATGAGTGGAGACTGGGTGAAAGTCTTATGGAGAAGGGAAGGGAGTTCCACAGAAGAGGTGCAGCCCTGGAGAAATGTTTGAGGCGTCCATTAGAGGTGGGCGTACGGACAGAGGATATACGCAGGTCTTTGGTAGAGCGTAGGGGCCTCAATGGGATATACTTGTGTATTAGGGAGGATAGGCAGGTTGTAGCAGCATTATGTAGGGACTTGTAAGCAAGCACTAGAATCTTAAATTGAGCCCTATATCTAACTGGAAGCCAATGCAGGAACTGACAGAGCGGGGAGGCATGGGAGGTGCGAGCGGACTGGAAAATGAGCCTCGCCGCCGTATTCATTATAGATTGCGGCAGTGCAATCTGGGAACACGTAAGACCGTAGTCAATGATATTTCAAGACTGTATAGCTCATTTGGGTATAATAAAGGGACTTGCACTTTTACATACAGTTGTAGCCACCTTTATCTAGGTAACGTGCATTTTTCTTAAAAGTAAAGTAGTATCGGTTTCGTTTTTATATCCTATTGTGTCTTTACATAATTTTGGTGAATAGTCTCAATCTAATGACATTTTTTTAATAAAAAATAATTGAGAATTTATGCAATCTGTCAATTTCTGCATTTAAAGGCGATGATTACAAATCAAGTTTGGCATATTGAGTTTGTAGTGTAGGTTAGGGTAATAGATACTTTTTAAAAAAATTTTATAATATTTGAAATATATTTTTGTACGTAAGAGATATTGCAGTGTCCTTCAGAGTGACAGTATATCAATAGTACAATGTCCAGCTCAATATTCCAAGCTAAATTAATGTAAACATGCCCCATGTTTGTCTGTTTCATATGTGTACTCATTTGGATAAAAGAGGGGAAAACTGAGATGGGCCCAACTGTCCAGAACAGACTGAGTTAATGGTCGTTGTATGGTTCCACAAAGAAAATCTTGACTCTACTTCACCTAAAGATGTATGACTCCTTATAGTGAATTTGTTTCTAAAGGAAAATAGAGCGTTCAAAATTTTACAGTAAATCACACTTAAAGGACAACTATAGGCAGCTTAATGAAGTGTTCTGGGTGCCAGGTCCAGCTAGGGTTAACCTTTTTTTGTTTTAAATAAACCATAGCAGTTTCAGAGAAACTACTATGTTTATAATAGGGTTAATCCAGCCTCTAGTGGCTGTCTCTTGACAGCCGCTAGAGGCGCTTGCGTGCTTCTCACTGTGATTTTCACAGTGACAAGACGCCAGCGTCCATAAGAAAGCATTGTGAATGCTTTCCTATGGACTGGCTGAATGCGTGCGCAGATCCTGCCGCGCATGCACATTCAGCCGAAGAAGAGGGGAGGAGAGCTCCCCGCCCGGCGCTGGAGAAAGAGTTGAGTTTAACCCCTTCCTCTACCCAGAGCACGGCGGAAGGGGGGGACCCTGAGGGTGGGGGCACCCTCAGGGCACTATAGTGCCAGGAAAACAAGTATGTTTTCCTGGCACTATAGTGGTCCTTTAATTTCACCTGCATCTAAAATGGTCTTTAAACAATCTCAGAAACAAAACGAATCTCGGTTTAAACAGTGATTGACAGTTGCTTCATGCATAAATTGTACTGTAGTTATGTCACATCTTCCCCATCCACTATACAGGAACCTGCACAGAGATATCCATACAGTCTGGCAGTGGGTAGGAAAGCCAATGCTGAAGACTACTTTTATACTAACCATTCTTTCTGTTTGATAACAAACCTAGGGTACTGACAGTGTCAGACCTTTTTTTTGACTCGCTGTGTGTTATAAGAGGGAACAGCCAATGTAAATGAGATTTAATTAGGAAGGATACATGGGGACTTTGGTACTTTCCAAGTACACCCTGGAATATGCAAATTAATTGCACACTTTTTAACTTGATGGAATCTGTTTGCCAGTTTACAGCATTCAAATGTCATTAATTTAATTTACAGACATTAGAACTTGACACATTTGCTTGGAATCTTGGAGCGAGGTTAGTAGCCAGGATTAATGTAAATGTAAACATTGCTTATTAGTGAAAAAGCAGTGTTTACATTGCTGCCTAGTAACGACTCTAGTGACAGTCACTCAGACAGCCACTAGAGTTGATTCCTAGTCAAGTGCTGCATACTCTCACAGGAGGTCGCTCTCCACCCATGGTTGCTATAACTTCCTAGCCGGCGCTGGCTAAGGAGTATAAAACCAGAGGGACGTGGCATCCCTCTCTTCAGGCACTGGCAACAAAGAGCGTGTCAGCGTCATGGAGATTTGCTCAGCTTGGGAAGTGTCTCCAAATGGCAAATCAACAAAGAGCAGAGGAGGAGTGTGGGAGGACCAGAGGTGGGTGTTACAAACTGGTAACACCTACCGCTGTGAGGTGATTGCCACAGAGGGCCGGGTAAGTAAGTTTTCATTTAAACTCTGTGGGTTGCGACCGTTAAAGGGACACTATAGTCTCCAGAACAACTACAGCATAGCTCAGACATTAATAACAGAAATACAGGTTTCTATTTCTAAATTTGATGTTCCTTTAATGTCTACTTATGGCCATCCAAAATTATTGGACATTTCTAATGTATTTCTGTGAACAAGCTTTCCCTGTATTTGGAGAAAATATCACTATATTTGGCGTTGTATATTTTAGGGTTTTGGTTATTCGTATCCCTCTGTTTAAACTCACTGGTTCAGATTAGCTAATGCTTATTTTATTATCTTAGTCCAATTAAATTGAACAACAAATATAGTATTATCTGTTGGATATTCCACCCTGACCTAAAAAAAGGCATGTATTGCTTACGCTATTGTATTTAACTGCAATTTAAGTAAATTTATACTTTTTAATAAACATCTTGTATCGTGCCTTTTACAATTTTACAGAATAAGTGTGGTTTTTCCTGCTAATGTTTATAAGATGTCACGAGAACTCAGTTGCAGGTTCACATTCTTGAAGATTAAAGGGTTACTCCATCAAAAACCATTGGTGTATTAAAAGTTTATTTTAGTTGGAGTAACACTTGCTGGCATCCTGCTTTGTGTGCCAAGAGATCTGCTCAGATTTAAAGCGACATGAGTCACTTGACAATTATTTTTTTTTTTTTTAACCAGCAAGCAAACACAATCAAATTTACCTACCAAAATAAAGCAAGAAGTTGAAAAGTATGGTATAACTATTGATAAACTTACTATAAACTTGGTCACGTTGCATTGTTGGGAAACACCTCTCAACTGGGGGGGTTTCTTCAGCTCCTCTCTCCTATACCCCTCTCAGATCAAGACCAACCCAGTGGCAGATTATGCAGCAGCAGTTGAGTGAAACTTGACACCAGAGTCTGCTCTGCATGGTCTCACTGGTCAGACTTCTTCTCTCTGTCAGAATGTTGAAAGGTGAAGAGAACTGCACTTATTCAGCATTGGTTAGATCTGTGTCAGAGTGTGTAGAAACATTTGAAGAAAAGATCATATTTACCTGTTTTTTCAGCACGTAGAGTGAGACAACTTTCTCTTTCAAACCTAAAGCTTTTGAATTGGTTTGATGGTTTTCACAAAGCGATGTATGTCTCTCTAACATTAGCAGGCCCTGAATTCTTATTCCAGGCTAGCTAATGATGTTGCTGGATGTTTACTCCTCCAGCAGCTTCGTCCAATTTCTCTCTTCTTTCAAACTGAAAAACTGCTCACAATAGTACAACTTCAAAACATTAAAGTGGTCGTGGTGCTCGGAATAACCCTTTACATTTTCAAACTGGTTTGCAACAAACGTCAGGAAAAGGCCTATTGCCTACTTACACAGGAAATACATAGCAGCCTGAATATAGCTCTATAAAAATTGTGAATCTCATACATCAAAAGCGTCATTGTACTCTTCTGTACTTAGAGCAGTTATAAAATGTGCTTGCGTGTATCACTTCTAAAGAAAATCAAAATCTGTATCTTTACATTTTATAACAATTCTCATGTGGAAAAAGTAATGCTGTAAAACTGTTAACTATTTTATTTATATAGCGCCAACAAATTCCATAGCGCTGTAATTATACTTGCAATCTACAATAAGACACCTATGCAGCAAGATATGAACCGTATATAGAAACAATGTACAGGGAAAAAATGGCGCTACGATCTAACATTAAAAAAATAAGTAACCCAGTGCAGCTAAAAAAAATCACCCAAGTCCTTTGTCACAAAAAACACTTCATACATACGTAGGAATACAATAATTAACAAGGTGATTGCGCACACAGTGGTACAAGATGCTCTTGCTATACGATGTCTGGTATATCCTATGCAGTGTAAACATAAAAACCCATCATAGGGCAATATGTACACTTAAAATGGATAAATAAGAATAAATTGAAACACTTCATTATGTTTAGAGCCCTTATGAGTCGGGCTCTAAACATTGTGAGTGCTCGATTTTATTCTTACATCTGCTGCTCATTGTTCCATGGGACCACAGAGGCACAAAATTCCTCTCTGGGAAATCTTTTATGGGATTGTGTGTGTGTGTGTGTGTGTGTGTGTGTGTGTGTGTGTGTGTATATGTATGTATATATATATATATATATATATATATATATATATATATACACACACAGCAATGTACTGATAAAAATAAATAAATATATAGTTTTTTTTTATCAGTTCATTGCTATTAAGGTAGTACTTAAAATAGATCAGTGCGGCTTTTGTTCGAATAGATTTCACAGTGGGATGTACCAGCAATAATATCTCCAGAAACGCATGATATATGTAATTTATAACTTTGTGGCCTATAATTAAGCTATCTACTGGACTTTTCAAACTGCAGTGCCCTTTACTATGTGTCAACCATGTCTTCCCTTTGAAAATTATCTCTAGCACTTTTCTTAACGTTTGTTAAACAATAACTCATTTATTTGAACATTTAGATTAGTAATTGCTAGTCTTTCATGTGGATGCAATACTGTCTGCATCCTTGATTGAATTGCAATAGTAATTATTTTTCCCTTTTATGTTTTTAATGAAATTAAATAGCGATGAAAATAAAATCTGCATATTTTGGGTGCTGTTTTATAGGTTTAAGCAATTTATCTCCAAAAATGTAATACTTTAGCTTTGCACAAAACTACAGTTCCTTTTTTTTTTTTTTCTAGGTTAATGGTCCAGATGGAATACTTCAAAATGGTAGCGTGGATGATGGAGTGGGTAAAACAAGCCAGTTATTGGGTGAGCTAAACTTTGAAGAAGATGAAGAAGATACCTATTATACAAAGGATCTTCCAGTCCATGCCTGCAGGTGAGCACTTTTGTGGCCAGTAAAGTCATTAGTGGCATATTATGTTTTGTGATACTTAAAACTTCCTTAGAGACAAAATAGGCACCCTGACCTCTTCAATTCAATGAAATTTTCTGGGTGCCATGTCACAGTAGTTTTAACCCTATAACTGAAAACACTGCTTTCATGCAAGAATGGCAATGTTTACTGCACAGGGTTAAAATGCCTCTAGTGGCACACTGACAGCTTCCAAAGACCTTTCTGCTGAATTAGCAGAGTGAAATCATATGGGAAAGCAATGGATTGGCTGATATAAAGATTGATCTCCGCTGAGGAGACAGGGCTGGCTGCAGAGAGAACACAGCGGCAAGGGAGAAGAGTTAAGTAAATTAAATTTTTCATGCATTGGGGGAGCAAACTAAACTGCTACATGACACTAGCTTTGGGAATACACATTTGTATTCCTAACACTATAGTGTTCCTTAAATAGTGAGCTTCTCTTGTAACCTTACTCTTAGGAGATATGTTTGCTAATTGTCCTTTGTTTCATGCTTAAGTGTAGGCCGGTATTTAATTAAAAAAAAACAAAAAAAAAACTCATGTTATGTAATGCATATTTTCTTTTACAGCTATTGTGGGATTCATGACCCTGCCTGTGTTGTCTACTGCAACACCAGCAAGAAATGGTTCTGTAATGGACGTGGAAACACCTCTGGCAGGTATGTGTGTGTGTGTGTGTGTATATATATATATGTGTGTGTGTGTGTGTGTGTGTGTGTGTGTGTGTAATAAACCTCAACTAAATGAAGTGTAATTTGCTTCATAGCTTGGAAAACGCATTCCAACTGCATCCACATTGCTGCTTTAAGTTAGGTTGTCTTTCTTAAAATATAAAAGATTAACGCCTTCAAGGCATCCGTGGTATAGTGCCATGTATGCCCTTCAATGATACAATTTAAAGTTCAATGTATTTGTAGAAAAAGACACAAATATTTAGCAGTAAAAAAAAAATGTAGGTATGCAAACAATTTTAAAGTGTCAGTGCAGGAAAAGTGACATAGCATAATGATATCCCAGTAATATACAAGTAAAGATCTATAAGTAAGAGAACAATTTAAAAAAAAAAAATCACACTGTGAGAAAACACAAACTCTTATGTGAGAAAGTAGGATAAAATTGCACTTTCTTTGTATAGTATGTCACAAGGATCTAAAATACATAAGCATAAAAATAGACCTAGTGCAACATAGTCACAATAAAATATAAAATGTGCTCTGTAAGAAATACTCACAATTGAGGAGTGGTTATAGTACCACTCCAGACCATCAGGCACAGGGAGAATCAGACCCTTGAGATCATTGGATCCTAATGTGGGTTAAACAAATTCACCACCAACCGGAAGTATAAAAGTTGAAAGTTTTATTATTCACAATAATTGAAAAGTAAACAGTAAAATCACACTGCACTCGATGTAGACCAAAGGTTCTGGGTGTTGAAGAGCATATAATCTGAGCATCCTCTCTGTAACTCCCAGCTGGTCGCAATCTCACTGCACGTGCAGGAATTTGCTGGTTTCACCCCGCCTCTCTGGGCTTTCTCAAGCATAAAAGAAATCTCCCACGTTGAGGGTGATTGCATGTCACACCTTTTAAAGTGCCCATGTCCATACATGAAATAATGTCCTTTATGCTATCTGCAATTATTCCAATAGTCCTCAGAGACCATATACATATGCACAATTTCATAACCTTTCAACATAAGGAATACAAAAGGGGAATACTGTTACGTACTCGCCATATGTCACATCTTATGAACTCTACAAAGATCAATAAACATAAAGTGTACAGAATATTAATAAATAAAACCATAAAAAAGGGGGCATATTGTCTAAAAATATAATGGATACACAACAATCTAAACTAGGGAATAGTCTTTAAGAGGAATCATAAAAAGTTAAATCAAAATCTATATTGAGACCGGCCAGGGCTAGAGTTTCCAAGTTAAACACCCACTGCATTTCCTCTTGGCCAATTTTCTTAATAAAATTCCCCCTCTCCAGTCTTTAAAAACGTTCTTAATCCCTATAAAGAGCAAGCCTGTAGGATCCTGGTTATGTACTTGTTGGAAGTGGTCTGAAACACTATGACTAGTTACTCCTTTGCGTATATTATATACATGTTTGCGTTTTCTTTTGTATGGTGTTTGTGTGATTCTTCCAATGTACTGCAATTTACACGGGCACTGTAATAAATTGATGATATTGCTGTGATGTCATATGTTTTCTAATAGTGTACTCAGTCTTTGTTCTTTCTGATTGAAACTCGTGATGTACCCCATTTCCTATTTGTTGTGTGTTCCTACAGCCTAAACACATCTTGCACCTATACAATCCTGTGAGTTCCCCAAACCTATTATTTGTTATATGTTTAGGTTTCTCTCTCAGATAGCTACTAATTAAAGAATTCTTAAAATTGGGAGCCCCTCTGAAAGTGATATAAGGTTTTTCGGGTAGTGATTCACCTTAATCCTTATTCGCTTTAAGAATGGGCCAGTACTTTATTAATGTTTAATTGATCTGTGTTGTGTATTATAGTCGAACACAAAAACATCACTGGGGGATACGTGAACACCAAAGTTGTCCTTATATAGTAGCTCCAGTTATGATTTTTCATTACCTTCATCCCAGGACTTTCCCAGGATATCCTCAGGATACTTCTTTATCTAGTAGTTTCTGGGTTTGTGTTTGGAATGTACTCTCCTCCGTGCAATTACGCCTTAGTCCAAGTAATTGTCCCTTCGGGATGTTAAGCCATGGGAAATAGTCTCCACTACTATACATGACATAACCAGTAGTGTCAACTTTCTTAAAGAAAGTCATTGTTTTAAGTGATTCCCCCTCCACATACATATTTAAATCCAGAAAGTCTATTTCCGCGGGACTTATATTACTAGTCAGCTGGGTGCCCCAGTTGTCATTAAGAAAATTTAAAAAGTCCTCAATGCCCTCCCAAATAAAAACAAAAAACAAGACACATAGGCAAGTCCATGTGCACCCCAGCCCATGGTCTCCGTAAATAATTCTCTTCACAATGTGCTATAAAAATAGTTGTATTGCTAGGTGCATATCTAGTTATTTAGTGTTCAATTTATACAACCAATCAAAAAGTCTATTTGGACAGAAGATGGAGACTGATCTTTGGTAAAAAAAAATGCTTAATGGCCATACAGCCTTTTTCATGTGGGATGCAATTAAATATTTAACAGTAAATTTCAACAGAAATTTGAAAAGCCTCAAAATTGGACATATTAAAGGGCCACTCCGGACACCTTAAGAACTTAATCACAAAGTTTTCATGGTGTGAATTTCATCTGGTTAATGTCCAAGGCTTCAGTCACACTCTCAGCCTATCTGTAGCTCCCTATTGTGAAAAGGGTACTTCTTTTTTACTCTCTCTTTAAAATGGGGAGATATTGATATGCTGAAAGAGTCATCTGACAATCAGCCTATCTAGTGCCAAGGATTCCTTTTACTTGAAGGCATCGACTGGAAGTGCAGTGGCAAAATGATTGGCTCCTGGCTAGAAGACTTTTGCATTAAAATGTTCCTTAACGGTTTAACCCCTTTGGTAAGTTGTTGCCCGGGCCTACTCGCACCAGTGTAACAATACTGCAATGAAGTTTTTATGGTGCCCAAAGTGTCTCTTAAAATATCCCAGGTTGTCTACTTTTTCAAATGGTATACCATGATAGGAGTAAAGTACAGTTGAGGGGCTACTAATTTGTCCTAAAAAGACACAAAATATTATATTAAAAAATAATAATTGTAAATTGGTTAAATCTGAAAATGTGAAAGCTGTAATTGGTATGTCTGTAGTTTTACTCCATATGATATTGTGATCTTATAAGTAGTGATGTCCCGAACGGTTCGGCGAACATATGCGCTGTTCAGTCCGCCCTCTGTCATCATTGAGTAAACTTTGACCCTGTACCTCACAGTCAGCAGACACATTCCAGCCAATCAGCAGCAGACCCTCTCACCTCCTGGACAGCATCCATTTTACATTCATTGTGAAGCTGCATTCTTAGTGAGGTGTCCAGGAGGTGGGAGGGTCTGCTGCTGATTGGCTGGAATGTGTCTGCTGACTGTGAGGTACAGGGTCAAAGTTTACTCAATGATGACGAATAGGGGGCGGACCGAACAGCGCATATGTTCGCCGTCCGTGGCGAACCGTTCGGGACATCACTACTTATAAGGCATTTTGCACTAATAAGTGGATCTGTCTTGATATTTGGGGGGGGTGGAGTTACATCGCCCCATTCCTCCGCCCGCCGTCTACATGCAATATTGTGTAAAGTATACATATAGGGTTTTATAAGGGAGCCATGTCTATATTATAAAGTAATCTATGAGTGCACTTATAGAGAAAGCTTTACATTTATGGTGGCACAAACACAAAGTTTCATGAAATTAGTTTTAGCTGTATTCAGAAAAGAAGCAGTCTGAATGTTTTCAAAGAAACGGAAGCATATAAAATGATCTTTATTCTTTAAGTTGAACTCTTTTCAGCGAAGTACAATTCCTCAATTTCTTTTCAGCCATATTGTAAATCATCTAGTCAGAGCCAAGTGTAAGGAGGTAACTCTGCACAAAGACGGGCCTCTGGGAGAAACTGTATTGGAATGCTACAACTGTGGGTGTCGCAACGTGTTTCTCCTTGGATTCATACCTGCTAAGGCTGATTCTGTGGTTGTGCTACTTTGCAGGTATGTGAACTAGTAAATTTATTTGTTTTTAGCCCTGCTTTTCCTCTCTATAATTTGTATAGCTGTAGGTTTATACTTTTGTATTGCTGAACTTTTACATACTGAGTTTGCAATTCATTTGATTACTGTTTCTTTTAATTTATTCTTACTGCATAACATGTCTACTAAGGTGAACTGATTTTTTTTCAAAAGTGACTTTATAACTGTCTGCTAAATTTGGAAAAAATCGGTCACTGCTCTGCTGGCAGTGTAGTGGCTGAGAGGGTGCAGGGGAAGGTGATTTATTCTTACCTGAACCTGTCCCTGCACCCATCTACTTCACGCTGGTCTGCTTCAGCTGCCAAAAGCCCACGTTAGCACTGTACTCTAGCGCATGCAGGAGTGTACAGTACTTGAGGTCTATGGCGTGTCCTCCGATAGAGCCTTTTTCCCTTCAGCCATCACTAGTGACAGCTAAGGATGTAAGGAAGATACTAAGACAAAATATTCCTTACTTTGTCATAATGTATCTTTGACGGAGTTGGAATTCAGTTAAATTCCAACACAGAAAATGGGATATTTTTTAGAAATTTTTATTTTTTATTTTTTTTTGTGAACTACTTTTTGGGGATGAGGATGACAGTGGTTTTTAAGAGAACAACTCTTTCAAAGATAAACTTGTGTTGTTTTTGTTTTTTTTCTTTGTTTAAAGGCAACCTTGTGCTAGTCAGAGCAGTTTGAAGGATATCAATTGGGACAGCTCCCAGTGGCAACCTCTGATTCAGGACCGTTGCTTCCTCTCTTGGCTTGTTAAAATACCGTCTGAGCAGGAACAACTCCGCGCTCGCCAGATCACAGCCCAGCAAATCAATAAACTGGAGGAACTGTGGAAGGTATCTTACTTTTTATTATCGGTTTGTAGGTGAATGTCGAAAACTCTGTTTAAACTGTTAAGAGGTGCAATTTTATTGCCTAGCTGACTATGTTGAACTGAAAAATTCTGCTTGTAGATATCTGTATTGCCAAGGTTTAGATCAAAGAAAGGCTCCAAGGTGGTTATAGACCCAACTTATGCATTTTTGAAAAATATATTAAAATCTAATACTCACCTTTGTGTCTAGTGTCTGAAATATCCCAAGTTCTTCCATGATTTTACTGTGGGAGATTTACAGAGCACACATGCGGTTCTTGTCTGTGCTCCATGCTTCCATATGTACAAATCTTTCTGGTCTGGAGTAGATTCTGGTGTAAATTCATTATTGCAGCTTAATTGTTTGAGTCCTCTTGGTTTCTGTGGGACTTGCTTCCTCTTTGTATTTGGTAGTACCAGAGGAACTATCACTGCTGGGATTATTGCGCAACCCAGTAGGCAACTCAAAGTTAGCAATGAGCTGTGTCATTTATATTTTCTCCATTCAGTATATGTCAAATGCAAAGGTGTCACAACACATCTTGGCATACAGTCTAAGCCGGGGTTGCCCAAAAGGTAGATTCCCAGATGTTGCAGATCAACTCTCGTGATGCTTTGTATGCCTTTTAGAATACCTATAGATTGACCAAGCATCATGGAAGCTGCTGTTTTAAAACATCTGGGGGATCTACCTTTTGTACACCCCTGGTCAAAGCCATTTTGAATCCTATGACTCTGTGCACAGTATCTTCACTGCACTTCAAATCTGTCCTTAATTCACAGGTATTTTTTTGTTGTTTTTAATAGTAATGATAAATGCTTTATTTTGAGAAAAGAATGGTGGTCTGATAGATTTGTTGCTCCAGCCTATTGATAACCATTTGACTTCAATGTTTTCTTTGTTTCAGGAAAATCCTTCTGCAACTTTAGAAGATCTGGAAAAGCCAGGCGTTGATGAAGAACCTCAACATGTCCTACTTCGTTATGAAGATGCCTATCAATACCAAAATATATTTGGACCTCTTGTTAAACTAGAAGCTGATTATGACAAGAAGCTGAAGGAATCTCAGGTGAAAATTCATTAGGCTTACGAGGTAGTATATAATGAGGAAGCATTAGTCTCAGCAGCAGTCGACCGCTGTGATTGGCTGAGAGTGTTAGCAGACAGCTTTCAGTCTCACAGCACTTGTTGGTGGTATGGCTAGTAGGAAGTGTGTAATCTCAGCCTTGGGGGCTGGACAGTGGGTGGCGAGGGCCACTTATATAGTGTTAAACTGCTCACAAAATTGTGTAACACTGAATGGAGGGACTGTACCAGCAGACTCCAGAGCACTATAACAAATTCAAATGAGAGTAAATAGAAATAGTGTCTACTCTACATAGTCCCTTTAGTAAGACTTTCCACTGCCCAACATTTTTTTAAATCACTGTTTAGTAGATATACTCAAACTGAAAATATGCATTCATTTAATTATGCATATTTTTCCATTTGGGTTATACCTAAAACATCTTGTAAAAGTTGCAGTTCTCTTGTTTGCTGCCTTTGCAGTCCTTTTCCTTCCTTTTTTCCCCCAGATTAGATTTCCTAAGATGCTCTGGGCATTGTCTTCTGTTTAGCTCCACTGAGTTAGCGAAACCATGAGCCGTTGTCTGCTTGAAAGTCATGAGGGTGTATCAAAGTTACTTTATAAAAGTGCCCATTTCTGTTGAAATCTGCACTTCTTGTAAAACAAAAAATGGCACTTCAGGGGTTTGACGTGTCCCTTTTAAATTCTTATTTCTATATGAATTGCTAAAGGTGCTCTCCTGAGGACATACTAAAAGAATTATCATAAGATTCAGGTACTATATGCACTTTGGATGTTTGAATATATACGATTATAATGGTTTTGCCTTGTTCCTAAATCTGTGTTTAGACTCAAGACAACATCACAGTGCGTTGGGATCTCGGCTTGAACAAGAAACGGATTGCATATTTCACTTTGCCAAAGACAGACTCTGGTAACCATTAAATATCCTTCCTTTGCTGGTTCCTATATTGAATACTTCACATCAGCCTAAATGTCATGGTACATTATCCAGAGTGTGTCAGCACTAAAATGTTTAACTCTACAGTACCAAACTGGTTAGCCGAACACTAATTTATGTCTGATGTAACTAAAATCTATTACACAACAACTTCTCTACATAATGCTGAACACATTTGATACATGCCTTGACCTTGTATATCTGTATGGAATAAATATATATCAATATCTGAATGTTGCTTATGCAGGCTCATAGTCATAACTGTGTCTAATTTATGACGACGAGTTAATTGTCAAAGTGTAATGAGTTCTGAATTAACCAAAGATGAATAATCACTTATGGAAAATGTGCTTATTTAGATTATAAGGATTTTCCTGAGAATGGACTTTTCTGCACAAACAAACCACAAATGTCATGGCTCATTACAAGGAATGTATGTCATAATTTTTGTCCTGGAATATTAGTGATTTATGTTGGGATTTTTTTTTATCATGATACACCAAACATTACAGTGAATTAAAACACCTGCAAACATCTTTTTTCTATATGCATTTTATATTTCAGATATGCGTCTAATGCAGGGGGATGAAATATGCCTGAGATACAAAGGGGACCTGGCACCACTGTGGAAAGGGATTGGTCACGTGATCAAAGTTCCAGATAGTATCCTTTCTCTTAACTCTCAACTTATATACAAATTGTAATTTTAATAGATCACCATTATGCTGCCATGTCTTATCTTGATGAATTATATAAAAACACCAAATATGTACTAATATAATGTGGACACAAATTAAAAATGGGAAATGGGTAAGTATTGCACTCACAAAACTTCTATTGATAAAAGGCATATAATTATTTCAATCTTCTCCTTTGCACAGAACTCGAATAGCAGCACCACATGTAAAGAAAGATTAAAAAATGGGACACACAGAGTAGATTTTAAACATAAAATCACTCCATTTCTTACATTGCATTTACAGGATTTAAAATCAGTAATGGCCTTTCATCCTCTCAACTGAAGATCCCAGATGACCATAAAATTGATAAACGCAGCATTCAAAATTACAATAAATAACACAGAATAAATATTATCTTGATGAATGTCTTATCCTAAATTGTTAGAATTTAATTGTGCGTCAATGTCACAACTTTCCATTAATATTTTTTTTTACAACACTATAGGGTCAAGAACACAAACATGTATTCCTGACCCTATACTGTTAAAACCACCATTTAGGTGGCTTTCCTCTCCTTTCAAAACTTAATAAAACTCACCTTATTCCCAGTGCCACTGACCCGGCCCCTAATCCGCTTCATTAGCAGACATCAGAATTGAGATTGGCAAGGTGGAGCGTCGGGAGCAGGACCAAACGTCACCTTGGCCATTCAGCACCTCCTTATTGAGATGCATTGAATCATGCAGAGCATGGAGACGCTTAATTGCAGCACTGCCCCAGGAAGCACTTCCAGTGGCCATCTGAGGAATGACCACCAAATGTGTCCCTGGGGAGCAATGTTAACACTGCCTTTTCTATGAAAAGGCATTGTTTACATGAAAATGCATTTAGGGACCATATACTCGGCAGAACAACTACATTAAGCAACAAGTAGTTGTTCTGGTGACTAGTGTCCCTTTCAGCACTTCTATGACATGAACACACGCCGACCCTTGACTCTGCAGTAGCTCTTCTGTGAACTATTTTGCAACACATTTCCATGCCTGGTTCACAGCTTAGCACTATATAATGTCATTAGGAAAAAAGGTGGAATCTTAGCACAGTTGACAAAGGAAAAAAAAATCAAGATTGTCATATTCTCTACAATAAGCTCTAGGGGTTATTCCACTTGGAGTGTTTCTTATAGACATGTTAAGAATTCTTTCCACTGCAAACAAATACATAACTTTATAGAGTAGAACAATAAGTTATCAGACCATAGTAAATATCTGGTATATGAACCAAAGGTCTGTGTTTGTTTTGTGTTGCTTATTAAATCAGTTTCTATGTAAGGGTGTGATTATTTCCTTAACTGATTTGCCTAGATTATGGTGATGAAATTGCCATTGAATTAAGAAGTAGTGTTGGTGCACCAGTGGAGGTCACTCATAACTTCCAAGTGGATTTTGTGTGGAAGTCTACTTCATTTGACAGGTATGATGCATAGATAATATTTAATTATCAACTATAAAATGTTTGTGTTTGGTTTAGTCTTCAAGAAAAAAAATTTGAAGGTTTTAGAGAAATCTAAATCTGGTGAATTGTAAGCCAATCCAAATCCCATCTATTCTATCTTAACTAATTTGGTGTCAAAGATCACACCATGCCTTCTTATAATTGTATTTTGATGCTTGATCTTTAAATATGATTGATATTCTTGTAATTAGAATGCAGAGCGCCTTGAAGACTTTTGCCGTAGATGAAACATCTGTTTCTGGCTACATCTACCATAAACTCCTGGGACATGAAGTTGAAGATGTGATTATTAAATGCCAACTCCCAAAAAGGTTTACAGCCCAAGGACTTCCTGATCTTAACCATTCACAGGTAATTTTACAGTCTTTCACAAATCATTATTGTAATTGTATTTATTTTTTAGATTTTGTGACATTGACACTACACTGATAAATGTAGACTACATTATGCTTAAACTGATATTTTTAAAACACATTTAGGATCTGTTCAGATAATAGGTTCATGTGAGGCACCACTCTTGCAGTGCAATGCAAGCAGCTCACATTCGCATCAACATGGTTTAAATTTTAGCCCTAGTGAGTAAAAAATTCACCTCTGGTGAGTGCGCCATGGACCCTCAGGGCACATAACTTTTGAGGACTGTCTTAGGATTTGAAGTTGTAAGCCATCATTTAAAGCATGTAGAAAAACTGTGGAACAATGTTTTAGAGAGCGTAATTGATGGGAGTTTACAGATTTCCTCTTACAACAGTGGTGACCCTTCAGTTTCTGAACTACTGATTTATTTCTCAACAATTTCACATTTGTCTCTGTGCTGCAATCATTCATATGAGGAAGCCTTGTGGAAACATAATCTTGCTTGTAACTGTATGGTACATTGTGAGTGTTCAGTGAAAATATTGTTTTGTGTTTTTGTTTTTTAATGCAAGCATGTAATACAGTAAAAATAGAAGTGAAGATGAAGGGCTGCTGCATAGATACAATTATTGTTGCTTTTGTAAAAGGACTATGAAAAGTACATTTTTAAATTGCAAATAGGCAAATTGTGCTTTTATAGCATTGAAATCTGTTAGCATTAGCATAATGAGTTTTTCTTTGTTAGGTCTTTGACTCGTGTTAATACAGTCTAGCTTTAATATTAAATAGTTGGATTGCAATCCAAGTGGTTTTAACATTTTGCTACTGACAGGTTTATGCTGTGAAGACTGTTCTGCAACGACCACTCAGTCTTATACAGGGCCCCCCTGGAACTGGAAAAACTGTAACTTCTGCTACCATTGTGTACCATCTGGCTAGACAAGGAAATGGGTGAGTTCAAGAATGCCGCTCTACTGTGCTTTTATTTTACAATAATTAGCCTTGGTGCTCCAGGTTCCACTTCTTGCTATTGGAAGGTTTCAGTTCTGCTTACCATGGCAATATTTACACTAAAGCTACAAAGGAGCAGGGCAAGATTATGGCAAATGACTCAGTGATCTCATACAAGTAAGTTTTCCTGAACAGTAGATACTGGAGTAGATGCCTGGTATCTCAGCTATATTACCATCTCCTGTCCTTATGGGATGCTTAATGTCCCACACCTCTTGCGCTGGACTGACACTGGATATTTTCTGATATCTACAGCAGCATGGGTATTGTCCCAAACTACCTTTGTGTGAGCAATTCTGACTCCTATCATATGCTTTATTCTTCCTGTGCTATTCCTCCCATACAAAAATCTTACATTGTAAATTTTCATATATGCATATCTTGGTTCACGCTGTTCTTTATGTGACTTGTTGTCTAATTGCAATCTAGCTCCTGTGTGATGGGAGAAAAACAAATGTGCAATTGGTAAGCCTACATGGCATATGACAATATGAAAAATTAACAAATGTAAATCTCTAATTTTTGTTAGTATGCTCATGTGATAAGACCAGCTGACATATGGCAAAAAATAAAAATAAGCAGTTCCTGCATATTCATTTCAGAATTTTCTCCTCCCCCCACCATTTAGACCAGTCTTGGTTTGCGCCCCTAGCAACATTGCAGTGGATCAGCTAACTGAGAAAATCCACCAGACTGGCCTCAAAGTTGTCCGTTTATGTGCAAAAAGCCGTGAAGCTATTGACTCACCTGTGTCCTTCCTTGCTTTGCACAACCAGATTCGCAATATGGAGAGGTAGGTGCTCAGCGGACTGCTTGATTTGTAAAAAGGATACGGTTGTTTTGTGGAAATCTGCCTCTATTCATAATATAAATGTGCAAGTAACTGACGGCTATCTGGAAGGTCACCTACCTTTACAATAATGTCTCATGTAATGTAAGAGTATCCAACAAAAATTCAGGTGTTTCATAAAAGCCAGCAGATGTTTATCAGAGAACTTCATAAATAGCAAGGCAAACCAAATGTAATAAAGTGGCAAATTGCTGCTACAATATACACTTGTTTTTTCAGGTTCCTAATGAAAACCTCATAACACATGGATGAACAGATTTCTGTTTGGAAATGGTTATAGAATACTGTATGTTTATAGACCTATTTATTTTATTTTCCATGTCCGTTAGGACAAACCATGCTGACCTGCATCCTTAAATTTAGATTTATTTTTATGATGCTTACAAACAAGTTTGCAGGCATTGCTGGGTTTAGCTAATGTTTATAAAAGTTTAGTTAATACGCATGTGGGTACCATCCTCAAGTTAAAATGCAATGTTGGGTTTACATGTTAGGATTTACTGTCAGTTCTGTCAAATTTCAGTTTTGGCTGAATACTTTTGCCTGTTAGATTCAGTTTAATATGTTAAGTTTATTTGAATCTATTTAAAGTATGCCCGAGCTTCAGAAGTTACAGCAGTTGAAAGATGAAACTGGAGAGCTTTCTTCGGCTGATGAGAAACGCTATCGTGCCCTGAAGAGAACTGCTGAAAGGGAACTTCTTATGGTAAATCCTTAATCCTGTTATGTCTGCATTAGTTTACACTTACATTTGTGTAGTGTCACTTTGTTAGGCAAGTCAATGACTGAATTTGAGGGGCATGCTTTGCAGTAAATAAGACCTAAAATAGCATATATATTTTTTATCTTTTAGAATGCTGATGTGATCTGCTGTACATGTGTTGGAGCCGGGGATCCCAGGCTTGCAAAAATGCAATTTCGTTCAATCCTCATTGATGAAAGTACTCAAGCTACTGAGCCTGAATGCATGGTGCCAGTTGTTCTTGGAGCAAAACAGGTAAGTCGCAGTAACATTGCAATAATCACATGAGGAAAACTATTTCATTAATGCTAGTGTTTAGAAACATTGTTCACATTGTCTTTTTTCTTTTCTTTTTTTTTTTTTAAAGTTGACTACATAAGCAAACCTTAAAATATTGTTACTATAAATTAAAAAATAAATGTGTAAGTCTTGAAAAACATTTTGTTCAATTAAGCAAAACCATAGTTGGCTAAAGATGTGTGCTGTTTTATTTAATCTGTGGAGATCCTTATATTAATGTTTTGTTGTTCAGCTCATTTTAGTGGGTGATCACTGCCAGCTTGGTCCAGTTGTTATGTGTAAAAAAGCAGCAAAAGCAGGATTGTCCCAATCTCTGTTTGAGAGACTTGTGGTTCTTGGAATTCGACCTATTCGTCTGCAGGTCCAGTACAGAATGCATCCTGCACTTAGTGCATTTCCATCCAACATATTTTATGAAGGCTCACTTCAAAACGGTGTTACTGCAGGTACGTTTTATACATCTTAATAGTTTTAAAGGTTTAGTCCAAGCCTCCTAACCAGTATAGCCTGCAGTAGTGTTATGGTGCCAGGAGTACCCTGGCCCTGTTTCCTGGTAATGGGTAAACCATTTTACTACAGTTTGCCCCTTTTACCGAAGTCCCCGCCAGGCGCTGAGGGTCGTACAGTGGATATTGACGACATCTGGCTTCTGCGGAGTTGCAAAAGTCCATCCCGCTGCCTCTTGTTTAGCTTAGAGCCTCAGCCTTTCTCAGTCAATTAATGCACTTCTGTGCATAGAGATGTGCACAGAATTGACATTAACGAGCCTGGAATATTTATTTTGTGATTGCTAATGAAACACATTACGATTCTGAAAGTGGAGGTACATCTCAACACGAAACACTGCACATGCAGACTCCAGGTAATGATGTGCTTGGAAGTAAACCTTTAAATACCAAGCTTTACATTATTATTTCCCCCCTTTACCTGGCTGAGCAGACCTGTTGGGTCAGATTCTATTGTTACCTGACCAACTACTGTTGATCCTTACTCGCTCAGACAAATAATGGCATAACCCTATGTGTACTTCAAATCAACAGCATCTACCCCTGTCAGTGTGTGTCTGCCTGTTCTCTCTCCTGCATTCCTCCCTCAACTTTAACTGTATTGGTTATATTTTATTTATTGTCTTCCAGTATGTACCATGCAGACAGCCTTCTATGTTGTAGTGCTTCAGGACCCTGTGTAATAGCAGCACATTTACGGTCACAACTATGTAGCTATGTCTTTCTCCTGTCACTTTATAACCTTTAGTTTGTTTGTTCTGCTCAGGTTGTTGTTTCCCTCCCTCAGTTCAAACAGAAAGTAAAGGTTACAAATTGTCATTTTGTTTTTGTGCGTCTTACACTAGTAGCAGGCCTAAAAGTTGCTTGCCACTGCTAGTCTGGACACTGAAAGGGCACACTTATCAGGGGTTCCTTTTTACTTGCCAGGACTGAATTGTCCTTTGATAGTGGCTGGTGGAAAATTTGCGCTATCAGTATTTTTTCTTCTTTTCCTCAGCTGAACAAATAGTAATTTCTCCTTCAACATAAATTATGAAAATAAATGCTGCTTAAATTATTTTGCCATGAAATTAATCTGTTCATGTGAATCTAATTTTAGCTGACCGTGTGAAGAAAGGATTTGATTTCCAATGGCCACAGCCAGACAAACCAATGTTCTTTTATGTGACTCAGGGGCAAGAAGAAATTGCCAGCTCAGGCACCTCTTACCTGAACAGGTTTGTACAGTTGTCTCATATTGTGTATAAAAATATCTGTAATAAAACCATAACATGGTGTATTCAGCAGCTCCCTCATTTTGTTTCCCAAAAAAACACAGAACAATTAAAAACCATTGAGGAGCATGATGAATTATTCTGTCATGGATGTTCTTCCCTTAAGGACCCATGATGGAATAATTCTGTCATGCAATTTTGTTTAAAAAAATTTTTTGCCAGCAAGAAATGGTCATATTATACCTCGGTCTCCCTTCTATCAGCTGGGGACAGAATAAGTGACCAATGCGCTGCATACCCTAACATAGCGATTGTGTGCGGTGTGCTTTTTATTTTTAAGAATGGTTTGACTTCATGGCTGAGCATTATGAGCTGACCCTCTGCTGCATGGCAGCACTTAATTCATAAGAGCGTGTTTTTACTGCTGAGAGAAGGGAGCCGTGCCTGGTAGTCACCATGAGGTGAAACAATTAAATCAAACTTACTTTAAAACAATTTTGACTACATTACCGTTCGTTTGTCTTCTTACATGTGGTTTGGGGCAAGGGCGCTTCTGCATATGAAAGATAATGCTCTATTACAATTTTCAATATGTACTATTTTTGTTTTCATAGAACTGAAGCTGCTAATGTAGAGAAAATCACTACAAAGCTTCTCAAGGCAGGTGCTAAACCAGATCAGATCGGTATAATTACTCCATATGAAGGACAGCGCTCATACCTTGTTCAATACATGCAGTTTAGTGGTTCATTACACACCAAGCTCTACCAGGTATGTATAGTACCTTCAAAACAGATCTTGGCTACTGCAAGCACTTCAACTGTTTCTCTTGATGTAAACAAATTTTTCTAAAATTAAATGGCTATGGGTTAGTTTTAACATACAAGGGGGTGGTGTTGATAAAACATGTGTTTTACCATGCACATTTTGATGGTAATATTCCTTTAAAGATATACTTTTTTGTTTTGTGTAATTGCTTTTAATTTTTCCCCTTTTTAAAAAAAAAATGTTAGTTTATTTTCCTAAACTTGTTATGATCATGTAATCATATGTCAACCCTTCCGAAAACCTGCCTTGTTAAGTTACTATATATCAGTCAAATTCCAAACTGCACAAGTAAAACTGTATTGAATCTGTAGGTGGTGGTTTCCAGTTCTGCTTTGTGACCTCCATAGTGCCTTATGCTGTATATCTTGGTGGCTTTGCAGCAGCTAAATCCTACCTGGTCTGTTTTCATACTCATGAAAACACAGGATTATTCACTAAATGTTGAAAAATTGTGCAAATTAACTCTTGCAAAACTGAGGGGGAAATAACCACTCTGGGACCATTCAATTAATTTGAGAAAATTAAGAGTTTAGCAAATAACGCTATGTGTCTGCATTATCATTCATTATAATTTCTTTTAACTTTCTTTTCCTATTTGTACATTGGTCTGGTTTCTTAGACCGCATCTGGTAATTGTATAATACTGTTTGTTTTTGTAGGAAGTGGAAATTGCTAGTGTGGATGCATTTCAGGGAAGAGAGAAAGACTTTATCATTCTTTCCTGTGTCAGGGCCAATGAGCATCAAGGAATTGGGTTCTTAAATGATCCTCGTCGTCTAAATGTGGCTTTGACTAGAGCACGGTAAGGTTTCTTTCGCTCAGCTTTTTGAATAGCGAGTTAAACATAAATTTAAAATGGATCTGTTTTCTCAAATGTACCTTTCTGACATTGTTTCTTCTCCTCTTTCAAAATCATTTCCTCATTTCTGACTAATTTCTCTTTAGTAGTGACTACTTTGCCTGATGTATTTTTACCTATGCTTGACAAAAGGTGGAGCTTAAAGCAAGCTCTGCTTCCACTGTCAATCTAACAGGATGTGGAGCTTTCCTTAACTTAATAGTACCATAACCAGGGCTTAAATATTGAACTTCCATATTACTTCACAGGTCTAAAAGTTAACTTGCCACTGCAGAGCTCCTCTTTCTGTGGGATCTCTGGAAAAGGACAGGGTAGCAACTTCCTGTAACATGGCGTCTGATATAAACGTTTGTAATGATGTATTATTACATTTGCTAAGATTAATTCTTATTTTAAGTGTGTTTGCACATGTAGGTATGTTAAACTGATCTTGCCCTGCTATATATATATATATATATATATATATATATATATATATATATATATATATATATATATATATATATATATATATATATATATATTTAAAAAAAAACAAAAACAAACAATTAAGTGCGATCAGGTGTGCAGCCAATGTTAATAGGCTGCTGCTTTTTTGGCACTATGGAAAATCTGTTAATAGGGAGTCAGTGCATGACATACTTGCCATGGCTAAGTTTTAGCTCACTAGTGGAGGAGTAGAACTTTTGAGCTCCGCCATAACCATTATAGCTCACACATGTTAAAGCGCCTAAACTGCCCATTTAACAGTGGTAAAGCACCACATACATACATTATGACAAACTACTTCCTGGTGACAGTGAAAATCCAGATCCTGCTTTTTAATCAATGTTTTGATCCTCGTGGAACATTTCAAGTCCTGGTAAAATACTGTAAGGACCAAAATTTGTGGCAATAGCATTAAAAGGGTGATTTGTGGTATATTTCCTTATTAGGCCTCTGATTGTTTTTCAGGTACGGAGTAATTATTGTGGGAAACCCAAAAGCTCTCTCTAAGCAACCCCTGTGGAACCATCTGCTGAACTATTACAAGGAACAAAAAGTTCTTGTCGAAGGACCACTGAACAACCTCCGAGAGAGCCTCATGCAATTCAGCAAGCCACGCAAACTCGTCAATACCATTAATCCAGTAAGCATTTTTTTAGCAGTCATAGTTTCAATGTACTTTCAAACTTTGTTCTTTCTTAATATAGCAGTCATAATGCAAGAAAACTGTTAAGACACTGTGCCGGTACGTAACTACTTTAAATAGTCTTTATTCAAGGGATCCTGTAGTGCCAGGAAAACAAACCCGTTTTTCCTGGCACTATAGGCTCCTGGAGTGCCCTCCGTCCCGTGGGGCTGAAGGGGAAACCAGCGTCGGCGGGAGAGACCGCATGCGCAGCAATGGCCGCGCGCGCATTAGACCTCCCCATAGGAAAGCATTATTCAATGCTTTTTTTATTGTGAAAATCTGACGCTGGAGGTCTGTGATGATGTCCAGCGTCGGATAACGCACCAAATGTCCGTTTGGATTCCTGAAGCCTTCTAGTGACTGTCTGTTAGACAGCCACAGAAGGCAGACTAAGAGCTGCAATGTAAACATTGCAGTTCTCTGGAACTGCAATGTTTTATATTGCAGCACTAGGTGCAAAAGGGTCACAGCACCCAGACCACTTCAGTTAGCTGAAGGGGTTTGGTTGCCTCTCGTGTCCCTTTAACTCCATTTAAATGTTTATTTTAACAGTTTAGTAGATATACCCCCAAAGAAACCATGCATGTATTTTCTGTGGGTAATATGTTATACACAGCTACGGGGCTCCCTTTTCCCCCGGCACAAACTGTTTCAGCAGAGGTTTATAAAAATTATGATTTCAATGGAAATTGGCACTTTTACAAACTGTCACAAATGACAGACTCCAGACACACACAGCAAGTGGAGGTTCTGGTTGTGTTCATTTGGATACGCTTTATACTTTTGCCAGTTCAGAGCAAGTAAACAGGAATGCATAGTACAGATGTTGTGGATATGACATAATTTGGTATTTTATCTCTGTACTGGCTGCTGTGGCTTTTTATACTGGGTAATGTGACATGCAGCTAGATCACTCCTCAAGTTGCATTGCATACTTATGAGTAAATAGATCAAAGACGTTTCTAAACCTGATTAAATCTAGCATTGCCAGCATGCTGCATGTAGTAGTGGAAAAACATATTAAGTTATGGTGCTTAACACTAACAACCAAAGAATACCTAGTAGTACACTTGGGAAACCTATGGTAATGTAGAGGAAGAATCTACACACCCATTTTAAAATATAATATGTTGGATACTACGTGGGTAAAAAGAATCATCAATATCCACACTTTAGAAAATATTTAAGGATGTGAGGGCTTAAAGGACCACATCACGTCGGCTTTCTAAAGTGTTTTATGTGTGAGGTATCACCCCCCCACACCACCCGCATACCTCCTTCTCAGATCAAAATGCTGTACTGTCGGGACTTATGAGATCTGCTGCTTTTACAAGCTATTTTGTACCTTCAATGATAAATGCATAATTAACTGTATGCATGTTTTCATTGGCAGCATATCTACTCCTCTGATCTCCTTTAATGTGCACAAAATGCATTCACTCACACATTAGTGTTTCCTGCACATTTTCTCTGAAATATTCCTGACATGAACAAATAAGTGTTCTGTGTACTTTTCTATGATTTTTTTTTTTTTATTCACTTAACTCTCCCCCTATCCTCCTACCCTATTTTACATCAAAGTTGTTAAGGCTATTCTAGTAAATAGCAAATTATTTTCAGTATTTGTACCTTTACTTTCAGGGTGCCCGTTTCATGACGACTGCTATGTACGATGCTCGTGAAGCCATCATTCCTGGTTCAGTTTATGATAGAAGCAGTCAAGGTATCATTTAGCACATTGTCTTCCAACATACCACCTTACTACTGCTAGTAGTGAAATATAGAATATTGTTTATGTAGATCATATTGCAAAATCGTCCAAAGTTGAAAGGTAATGCATTTAAGAAACCACAACATTTGTTTGCTTTCCAGGACGACCGTCCAATATGTACTTTCAGACCCATGACCAAATTGGCATGATCAGCTCTGGGCCTAGTCATGTCACTGCCATGAACATTCCCATACCATTCAATCTGGTCATGCCTCCAATGCCACCACCTGGCTATTTTGGACAAGCCAATGGACCAGCAGCAGGTATGTTCTTCTCAATGTTATACTATCCCTGTTTGTTTTTCCAAAGGTTCTCAGTAGATGTGTTGTGAAGTGCTGGCTTCACCTGCTTACATGTAGAAATAGTGCAAAATCGTTCAATTACTAGACTAGCAGGAAGTCTCCATGAGAGAGACGCTAGGGTGCTGGTGCAGATGTACATTTGTATAATTTTTTTTAAAGTAAGTGTTTACTTGGCAGTGAATTGAAAGCCTATTTGGAAAACCCAAGCTAAAATAAATGAGATGTCACTGCGTGTTATTTTGGCCTAATTTCTTAATTCAATTTTCATTTCACATTTATTCACTTGCCTGTATATAAATCTCCATTGTCTGCAAAGTAATAAACATTGCCCTCATTAGCAGCCTCTCCTTGTAGTGTATTCTCATCAATTATATTATTTACTAAATATTTATATATAGGTCGTGGGATGACAAAAGGAAAAGCAACTCGTGGTGGGCGCCAGAAACAGCGTGGAATTGGACTTCAAGGCATGAGCCAAGGAAACATGCCAAATAGTCAGGCAAGCCAAGATGTTGTGTCCCAGCCATTTTCTCAAGGCCCTCTTACCCAGGGTTATATATCCATGAGCCAACCATCACAGATGAGCCAGCCTGGTCTTTCTCAACCAGAATTATCACAGGTATTGCTTGAGGACCTTTTTGAGGACATCTGTTTGTCAGTAATGTGGCATCCTAAATATTCTATTGTGACTTGGATGACAATGCGTATATGTTCTTAATATTTTAGGATAGCTACCTTGGTGATGAATTTAAATCTCAGATCGATGTTGCATTATCGCAAGATTCAACTTACCAGGGAGAGCGTGCATATCAACATGGAGGTGTGACTGGGCTGTCACAGTACTAGCGTGTAAGTTTGATTATATTTTAGTCATATTTATCAGTCTTTTGGTTAAATGTATTTAGGGTCTCAACATTTTAAGAGTTGTGAAATGTAATTACAAAATAAAGTTGAACCTTGGCATATAAAAAAAAAGAAATCCATGTTCCTGGAAAAAAATACCCATATTTGTCCTACAGTTGTCATTCTGTAATGTTATAAGATACTTGTACCTGTTACTTGGTCATACCAATGTGCAGCTGCACTATATAAAATGAATGAAAGAATATTTTAGTTTCAGAAATTTGTCTAGCGCATTGTATAGATTAAATAGTAATAGCTGCAGTACTACGGTATTTTATAATCTTTTGTGACACACATGCTTTAGTTTCAGTCAACCATCACTAGTCAAATTAGTGTCATTACTAATGAATATAACATTTGCAGAAAACATTGTGTGGTTGTGATGATCAACAATTTTTCATAAAGCTTCACCTACTGTATCATGGAATTCAGAAAGCCAGTGGGGTTGTATAGATTTGAGGTGGCAAGCACGAGATTTAATAAAGTGTACTGTTACTTAATATGAGAAATTGTATTTTGTCCTTGGAATATAGTGCTTTCATTTTTAACAAAGCTTGTTTCTTTTCTAATATGAAGGTTGAAGACGAGCTAAGCCTGTGTGGAACTTAGTTCATCCACATTTTATTCTGAGTAATAAAAAAATAAAACGGATACCTGTTTTCCACTGCTAAAACTGAAGCACCACTGTGAGAGCAACAGGAGAGAGAGGAACGAGAGAGGAATAAAAAAAAATCTAAAATATCGAGAGAGAGAGAGAGAGAAAAAAGCGAGTGAGACCACTGCAAGCACACTGAGACGAGGAGAACGACAGGAGAAGATGTACATCAGTGGAGCCACATCCGCCTAAAGATGGGATAGGTAGTACATGGGGGGACCATTACCATTGTTATCCTAGTAAATTTGAATGGCCAGCCAAGCCAATGTCCCTACCATAGCTTGGGCAAGTGCTGGTGAAAAGACCTTTAACATTTTTCCATTTAGCTCAAATGAGGTACATGGGTACCATTTTATTATAGCTGGAGAAAAACAATTCCTTATCTCGGAGTTGTTGTTTGTTTCTATAAGGACTCTAGAAAAACAGGGTCACGTTTTTTTCGTTTTAAGCCAAAATGTTTGCTACTCCTAAATGAACCACCATGTAATTGGAGAACTCAACTTCGAGATGTAGGGTTGATTTTCAGACTGGCTTGGAGAAATAGGTGGTCATTATCATGTCTCTTCCTACAGGCTCTGTCACTAATGAATGGTTTAAAGAAATTCTTTCTAGATACAAGAAAGTGCTGGGGTTTTCCTTAGTTTTGTATCTGATTGCGGTGGACCTTAAAGTACTGCAAAACTTTGTGGGTTTTTTAGTATAAAAAAAAATCCACCACTAACAGGGACTTTCAGCGTTAAGATGCAGCAAATGCCTCTCTTTCCTAAAGCAGTGTAGCAGAGCAATGGAGTATACACACTCCCTTAAGGAGAGGGGTTTTTTTTCAGTGTTTTTCTGTATGCTTTGATTGGCTACTGTCTGGACTCTACTCCACAAAATAAACAAATCTTTGTTTAGGTGAATTGTATGCTTGAAAAGGGACGGGTTTCCTGAGCCCTTCGGCCCCCACCCATCACGGAAAGAAAGCCAGGCTAGCCTGCTAAGAACTCCCCTCCCAGAAATGGATGTAGTAGTGGAAATTGGGGATTATATAGGTTTGAAAGTCAAGTTTTTCGCAATAGTTTTTGAAACTGGTGGACAAGCAGACTAGAAGGCAGGCAATGTGGAAGGTGGCCTATTGTCATTGTGTATCACTGGAAACATGCTTGGTGCTTTTGGAGAGGGGCTGACTGGACTTGGCCTTTTAGACCATTGTATGCCAGAAATGGACTCAAAACTACAGCTCAAGCTCTCATGTTAAGATTGTTTTGTCAGAGAGACGTTTACTAGATCAATAAAATCTGATTTCTAAAATATTTCCAGTTAATATATAGTAATCAAATGCATTATCTTCACTCTTAGACTCTTTAGCTTCTTGTAATATTTCTAATTACCCATCTTAGGTCATTTGAAATAGTTACAGTTATACATATGCTGTTGTAGTGCAGCAATGTTTTGAAATTTAATTTAGCCAGCTGCATCGGTAAAAAATTTTTTGTAATTGTAATAAATTTGTTTTCCCCAGGAAGTATTTTTAGTGTTCCTCCCCTATAGCATTTTGTTCAGCTACTATGTACTGCTCAGTTTCTAGGTTGAATTGATTATATTAAAATTCTCTTGTATATTTAAGAATGAAAAAGAATCATAGCAGTGACATCTGCAATTGTTTTTCATGTATATATACATATATATACATATCTATCCAGAAACCTGCAGTCATCTAAAGAAACAGAAACATCTTGTATAGCTGCTGATAATCAGGTTTTATGCACACGCTGTGCATTCAATAGATAAGGCTCTGGTCACCTTCCTTCCTGCAAGATGGACTTTTATTTATTAACATTGCTGAAGGGCTCTTTTAATTTTCTTTCTTTTTTTTTTTTGTCCATTGTCCACGCCTCCCTTAACCTTTTCTGTAACCCCACCTTGTGAGTAAATGCATAGTTAGTATAATATTACTGTGTATAATCCTTTTTGTGCAATGCTGATCAACAAGTAGCATAAACTCCTCCCTTCTATGTCACTGGCTGGAATGCTTCTGCTAGCAATGTTTGTTTTTTTTTGTAGCAGCTTATTGAGTTTTAACAACCCATGAACATTTGTGCTCGCACAATGTCTTTTTCTTTTTTTTTTTCCTTTTTTGATTTGTCTAAACTTGTTTTAAATCTGTTCATTATGAATTAAATGATTAATAAACAGCCTTTCAATTGTGTTTGGTGTTAATATTCCTCACAATCACAACAATCTCCGCCAATCCCGTCTTTTCCTAATGGAAATGGAGATCATCACTTCTGATGTCAGCCAAGGAGGTGGGTTGGGGGCGGAGCAATTGCCACCATGGCCAAACAGTATTACCTCATAGAGATGCATTGAAGCAATGCATCTCTGTGAGGAGGGTTGAGACACTTGGCAACTGAAATCCTATGGTAGCTATTAGCAACTTCTCTCATGTATGTGCACACAGAAAGCACCATAACAAGCCTCCAGTTTGGAAATCAGGTGTCCTCTCTAGTGGGAGGGCCCCTAGACCGTATCGTATTAGGAACACCTGCAATCCAGTAAGTAACTTGGCAGAATATCTAGTGACCTATGATAATTGCATATCAGACCGTCATAGGAAAGTCAAGTAATAATTGGTTATGGAATACTTTGTGGACAAAGATGTCTGGCCAAAAGGGGGGCATATATTATGGTCACACCAGTCACTTGAAGTAGGGTGATATATTCATTCTACACTGATATACGCTGACAGTAATAGGTTGCTTTCATTATTTATAATATTTAATTAGAATTCCAGCATGTAACATTTCTGAAAGTGAAATCACCATTTCTATAATTCCATGCTGTGCTCAGTAACACAATGTCATCCATAAATAATATGCAAATGAGATTTGAAACTGTAGGTGCATGAACTACGAACCAAGTAGCAACACCTAAGCTCAGACCTCCACAACAGGTACATTAACAACCCCACCAAATATTACTCCAGAGGAAAACTGAATGATAGATTTGGTTTGGGTCACAAATATGGCGGATATGCATTTTACATTTACCAGTGTGGTTTTTTTTTTTTTGGTTTTTGTTTTTTTATTGGCTAAGGCAGCAGCTGCTCTGGCACCATTTCAATTTGCAATTGGAGTCAACAATTATTTTGCAGACATTCTGCAGGTCTTAAGTCACCAGATTGTTTTACCATTCCATATCTCACACCTCAAGTTGGTGCCCTAGTGCTGAAATTAGTTTTGCACCTAGTATTATGAAATAATCTGTCAACATGCAGTACAGCACCAGAAGTTAGTTGGTGTATTAGGCAGGCCTATTCACTTCACTTCCTTGGCAAGCTCAGATTTGTAATAATTATAATCATGTGGTTTGTAACTACAAGCAGTACAGACTGCTGCATATTTGTGTCATAGGGCATACCTTAGGACTATATGCCAAAATAAAGACAAATGATTGAGGTGAAAATTGAATTTCTTACGTCATGTCTAGTATATCATCACTCACCGACTTTGTGAATTTTCTGTACAGTGGCTTCTCAATAGTCTTTCATACAAGACAAATACTATTGTCTCGGAATACTCACAAATGCAAAACGTATCTGCTTCTCGAAAACCTGTCCATTAAGTTGTGACAAACCGAGAAAGGTATTCTTATATGCTGGTTGATAATTCACATATTGATATTTAGCGAGTCGACCTTATTGGTGTAGTAAATAAACATAAGTGATTTGTGATAATTAGGCACTTAAATATAATTAACTATAAGTAAGTTCCTCCCCAACTACTCACAATTCATGTAAATTTGTATTTTTTTATTTTTTTTTAATTACAGCAACTTAGTGGCAAATTGCCAACACCACTAGAGAGGTGGAGCGCTAACTACGTAACATACACGTACCCCTCTGTAGCATGGGGTTCTTATACAGAGTGCTGAAATAAAACATATAGTGAAATATATTAATCATAAAGAGTGAAAGTAAGATGAATATAATCACATAAAACAGAGCTTTACAGGGATAGGCTCAAATCTCTTGGTCTGGTGTGTACTAAAGTGACACTCTTGAATCTTTACCAGGATAGACTTGAAGAAAATACAATAACAGGGTATCTAGTATAGTAAGTCAAATAAAAGAATTCATAAGAAAGGAGACAAACTGTTTACTTTAAATCGAGCCACAAGTGTGTCTGTTAAGGGAAACACAACACTCCTTGGATGCAAGGTCCAGCTGTTAAAACAAGGGTAGGCAACCTTCAGCACTCCCAGTGTTATGAACTACATTTAACTGGATCATTTGCCAGCATTATAGCTATAAAAGCATCATAGGAGATAAAGTCCTGTGGCATACTAAAGTGATGATGTGGACTACAATATTCAAAATATAAAATGTAATTTATTATAAAAGTATCACAATAAAAACAATAGTAAATATAAAACCAATGCCTTTTGTTGACTAGCAGTTTCCTCAATTTAATACATCCCCTTCTGTTGCAAAGCTTTTTAAATCCCCTTTCACCGATTAGTGGAAACCCCCCAATTAGTCCTACAATCGCAGGTCATGTGGGCAGAGTCCTGGAAATTCTATTAGGTCAAAGTAAAGTATAACACGCACACCAGAAGTGACGTAGAAGTAATAAAGCATCATGTCACTTCCACATATATCATCATGAAGAGGTTGTTATAGCAACATATATACAAAAAAGAAAAGGAGGGAAAAACTATTAAAATTGATAAACTGCGCTTTCAAATGCTTGATACATCATAAATTGTAAATACTCTACAGATCTGTTACATATATCCAAAGGTAATAGTCCATTTCTGACCAATTACAAAGAGAAAGGAAACAGTGGACATAAAAAAGGACTTTCTAAAATTAATGTCAATTATTAAAATACCCTCACCTGTATAGCAAATTGGTTGAGATTATATATCGTGGACCGGAGGTGACGTATTGGTTCATCACTTACATCTATATTGATGTGTAGAGGTTGCTAGAGCAACCCATACACAATACTAGGAGATACTTACAATGAACAACTATAAATAGATTGCTTAACATATTTGGATAGATATTCAACATATACATACAGGGAAACATAGATAACTAAAAAGGAAAACCATATATGGAAAAAAATGTTTAAAAAGAAAAGTTAAATATGTAGACATCAATGAATATATCAGTAATAAGCAATCAGCTGATGAGTGGTGACCAGGGGGGCGGGGAGGTAGAGTATAAATATGAATCCATAAGTTGGATGTCCAGCCACTATATTCAAACATGTTCAAATTATGTAAAGTATAAAGTGATAAGACCAAAGTTAATTAATGTCTGTCTCTGTGTAAATAGTGTTTTACAAGAAATGACAGTTTAAAATCACGTTTTAGTCCATAGGTTGAAATGTATTTAAATTAAATATCCACTTCATTTCTGTTTGTCCCATTTTTCTCATTAAATTATCTCCTCTTCAGGTTTTTTTAACTCAATGAGTACCCAAATAATGAAGGTCACTTGGATTTTTATTATGTTTTGATTTATAATGTACATAGACTGTTATAACCATGTTTTATATTTCTACTGTGTTTTTGCACTCTTATATGTAACATATAGTTCTGCCCACATAGAACAATCCACGTGGGCAGATGATTAAATACATTTATTTTATTTATTTTTTTAAATGGAAAGTGATTGTTTAATGGAAAAATTATCTTCATTTTGAGAATGTTAACTTTTTTTTTTATATCAACTGTTTCTTGTTTTGGCTGTTTTTACATTCTACACAAGAGCCACAACCATAAAAACCATTAGATTTATGGATAGTTTTATATGTTTATGTACCAGAGTGCTCCTTAAATGAGGAACCCATCTGTATACAATTAACAGTTGATCAGGGATCATAGATACGGTAGCGCCTACAAATAAAAGCAAAGCTAGTTGATAACCTTGCAACTTCTAATAATTGGTCTTTATATCCTTTAGCTTTAAAATTACTTACAAAAATACCGATGCGGAGAAAGGGCCAAGGAAAGCAGACGCAGGTTAGAGAGCTCCACACTGAGCTGCTACACAAGGGCTCCTGATTACCAAGTTGAGCTCCCGAACATAACAGGAGGAGACAACCACAAAACCATAACCATTTCTTTTCATTCAAAGTGTATTTGATATTAATACATGTATATTGATAACAAAATACACAAAGAATTATATAAATATATACATATTTTAATTCTTTTCATTATATATTTGGGCAAGTTTAATATTTTACTTTATTTTCCATGTCTGGGGGACTGCCTGACAACCCAGGCAGTTCCCCTGCAGCAGTTCAGCAGACTGCCATGTCATTGCAATTACTTGACCTGGAAGGGCCGGATTTGCTACAGGGGGACTGTCTGGATTGTCAGGCAGTCCACCCCAATTGGGATCGCCGGTGTAGGGAAGTATACTGGCCGCAGGGGACTTCAAACCGTTACGGCGTACTATGCCGCCGCCGCCGCCGCAAAGGCTTTCAAGCTCATTTAATGCATGTCGGCATAGAACGCCATTAACACGTTATTGGGTTACAATCAGAGATAACCAACTTGATGGGCTAATACCAGAAGGGCAGCATCTGACAATTACTAACAGAAAGTTTAAAAGCTTTGCTAACACCGTTAGGCAAGTGAAATGCTTCATGAAACTTGCAGATGAAAAAAGACAGCAAGTGTGGCACTGGAGAGATGCAGGGATTTGCTTACTTGACAGTGAAGGAATTTGAGTGTTAGCATTTATATACCTTCATATCCTCAAGACATTTTGTCTGTAGAGGCAGCAATAAACAAGTTAACTTTAAACAAGGCAGAAGTGAACTAAATTGCAAAAATTGCACCAAATTCATAACACAAAAATACAATCGACATTACTAACGAAATACTTTAGTGGAAATTTAAGCATGTTACAAAATTCAAACATGACATGAAATTGTAGGTCACTGTAAAATCTGTAGTTCTGACCTAAACTATGACTGTTAAACTGTTAAACTTTAACATTTTTCCATTTAGATCAAATGAGGTACATGGGTACCATTTTATTATAGCTGGAGAAAAATAATTCCTTATCTCGGAGGTGTTGTTTGTTTCTATAAGGACTCTAGAAAAACATGGTCAAGTTTTTTTGTTTTAAAAGGGACACTATAGTCACCTGAACAACTTTAGCTTAATGAAGCAGTTTTGGTGTATAGAACATGCCCCTGCAGCCTCACTGCTCAATCGACTGCCATTTAGGAGTTAAATCCCTTTGTTTATGAACCCTAGTCACACTTCCCTGCATGTGACTTGCACAGCCTTCCATGAACACTTCCTGTAAAGAGAGCCCTATTTAGGCTTTCTTTATTGCAAGTTCTGTTTTAATTAAGATTTTCTTATCCCCTGCTATGTTAATAGCTTGCTAGACCCTGCAAGAGCCTCCTGTATGTGATTAAAGTTCAATTTAGAGATTGAGATACAATTATTTAAGGTAAATTACATCTGTTTGAAAGTGAAACCTGTTTTTTTTTTCATGCAGGCTCTGTCAATCATAGCCAGGGGAGGTGTGGCTAGGGCTGCATAAACAGAAACAAAGTGATTTAACTCCTAAATGACAGTGAATTGAGCAGTGAAATTGCAGGGGAATGATCTATACACTAAAACTGCTTTATTTAGCTAAAGTAATTTAGGTGACTATAGTGTTCCTTTAAACCAAAATGTTTGCTACTCCTAAATGAACCACCATGTTATTGGAGAACTCAACTTTTCAGACTGGCTTGGAGAAATAGGTGGGGATTATCATGTCTCTTCCTACAGGCTCTGTCACTAATGAATGGTTTAAAGAAATTATTTCTAAATACAAGAAAGTGCTGGGGTTTTCCTTAGTTTTGTGTCTGATTGCAGTGGATCTTAATGTAATGCAAAATGTTGTGGTTTTTTTTAGTAAAAAATAAATTCCACCACTAACAGGGACTTTCAGCGTTAAGATGCAGCAAATGCCTCTCTTTCCTAAAGCAGTGTAGCAGAGCAATGGAGTATACACACTCCCTTAAGGAGAGGGTTTTTTTTTCCAGTGTTTTTCTGTATGCTTTGATTGGCTACTGTCTGGACTCTACTCCACAAAATAAACAAATCTTTGTTTAGGTGAATTGTATGCTTGAAAAGGGACGTGTTTCCTGAGCCCTTCGGCCCCCACCCATCACGGAAAGAAAGCCAGGCTAGCCTGCTAAGAACTCCCCTCCCAGAAATGGATGTAGTAGTGGAAATTGGGGATTATATAGGTTTGAAAGTCAAGTTTTTCGCAATAGTTTTTGAAACTGGTGGACAAGCAGACTAGAAGGCAGGCAATGTGGAAGGTGGCCTATTGTCATTGTGTATCACTGGAAACATGCTTGGTGCTTTTGGAGAGGGGCTGACTGGACTTGGCCTTTTAGACCATTGTATGCCAGAAATGGACTCAAAACTACAGCTCAAGCTCCCATGTTAAGATTGTTTTGTCAGAGAGACGTTTACTAGATCAATAAAATCTGATTTCTAAAATATTTCCAGATAATATATATAATATAATCTAAACAAAACTTGGCACTTGAACAGAGCAAAAACAACAGTAGCTAAAAGGAAAATATAAGAAAATATAATAGCAAATAGCTAAAAAAAAAAAAAAAAGTCAGTATATATCCCTAGAAAAGCTAGATAGCGAAATGAAAAAAATATTTAAAAATAAGCGCGGTTGATTAATACTGCATGTCAGTTAGCTGTCTAGCATGGTAGGAAGACAGCATAACAGAGACCCCTTGTATAATTAGCTCAATAGCTTTTTTGCACCTTCTGTTTTCTATGTTTGGTCTGCTGTGCCATTCAGTATTCCAAACTCCTGTCTGACTAATAGACATGTGCAATTTAATTTGGATGAATTTCAGCAATTCGAACATTCGGATGGTAGAGAAAATTAAGGGAATGATGACCGGAATCTAACCCAAGCCCCTAACCTAACCCCAACCCTACCCCTAAAATAACCCTTAAGCCTACTATTACCCCTAGTAGGAGTAGGGTTGGGGTTAGGATAGGGTTAGGGGTTGGTTTAGGGTTAGAGGTTGGCTTACCCACTTGTTAACTTATTCCTATGCACCAGTTGGTTTGGGGCATTGGGGGATATTGGTTGGGTGGTGCGCAGGTGCTGGGCCTGCAACATAATTGCCTTCACCCGGTGCCCGGGCACCCTCGACCTATGTTGGTGGTGTGGGATGGGGGCCAGTCTTTTGCTCTACCTTGATCTCAATGTAAGTGTATGGGATTGATATCCGTGTATTGTTTCATTTGAAAGTTGGCACTACAGTGGTGCCTAAGTTGGTCTATGTCCCCGTGAATCCGGAGCGCTTATGACATTTGGGAGAAGCTGGGACATACACCCCACCCATGCCTGGCTAAGGGTAAGACCAGGCTTTTTCTGTACATATTGTTAGTGTTTTCTTTTTCTCTTCTGTCCTATTATTGCTGTTTTTTCTTTTAACCTACCCTTCCCCAGGGGAAATTGCCGTGGGGCTTGGGGAAGATGAGGCTGTGGAGTTGCACGTCCTGGGGATGGTTCTATCCCTAACATCTAACAGCTTCCTGTTGAACAATTCTAATGTTAGATGAGTCGCAGGGAAACGGTTGTTAAATGGCTATATCTTTCATGTGATAATGCCTCTGAAATTAACTTCTTTAAATGTTAAGGGACTGAACGCCCCTAAGTAGAGGTGCCTCATGTTTTGGGAGCTTAAATGCCTTGACCCGGATGTGGCTTTCCTTCAGGAGACGCATATCCCTGTGTCCACCAGATTCGCCTTAAATGATCATATCTACAATACAACCTGTCAGGCTAAGGCGCATAATAAGAGGAACGGAGTGGCGGTCTTAATTCACCGCAGATGCCCGTTTAGGGTCAGTAAGGTGCTTTCAGACCCAGGGGGCCACTGTGTACTTTTGTCAGGTACTCTATTTTCTCATAATATCCATATCCTAAACCCATTGAATCCCAATGACCCTTCCAGAGAATTCTGGTCTGCTCTCCTTGATATCCTTACGGCATTGCCCCATGGGATGGTGGTGGCGGGGGGGATTTCAATGCTGTGCCGTGTCCTGCTGTCGATTGGAGCTCCTTACATTTTTGCAATAAACTGGACTCATTGACGTCTGGAGAGTTCACCATCCCAATGAGCTTGATTTGATTACACCTTTTATCCGGCCCCACGTGATATCTACTCAAAGATTGATTTTTTTCTTGGTAAACTCCCTTGTTCTGCAGTGGGCTCTATTACCTGGTCGAACCACACCGACGTTACCTTGACGCTGGATAAATTGTGCGTGGCGACCCCTGGTCTTGAAAATTGAACAACCTAGAGATACTTACCACCATAAGTCAAGAGATAAACAAGTATTTCACTAGGAACACTGCCCCAGGTCCTTCATCTGCGACGGTATGGGCGGCTCATAAAGCGGTGAATCAAGGCATATTGATTTGCGAAGCCACGTTGAGGAAAAAAAGAAAATCCAAAATCGTCCCTCTTGGAATCCTTAAGGACCGTGGAAAAGAAACATAAATCAGACCCTTCCCCTGCTAACTTGAGCGTGATACGCACATTGCAGTTGTCAATTCGGGAAACACTACTTGAAGACACGGCATGAGTCATAGTCTGGTCCAGGAGAACCTATTGTGAGAAATCAAATAAAATGGACACATTTTTATCTAGATCTCTTCGCCCAAGACAACGTAAAATGCACATCACGAAAATCAAGGACTCTGCTTATCTCACGAATCGTGGTGATATAGCTAAGGTTTTAATGGAGTACTTTGCAAAGTTATATAACCACACTAGCCCTGATTCTGTTAATGCTAGGATGGAAGCCGATGGCATCCGGGCTTTCTTAAGCCAGTTAGACCTCCCAACATTGGCGGGGGCGGATTCCTATTTATTTAATAAACCATGATTCCAAGATTCTCGCAAAGATCTTTGCGAACAGATTGAACCCCTTGTCCCAGGCAGACAATTGTTTGAGAATACCAGATGCAATGTAGATATCATATGGAAACAGCTCAACACCAATACGCCAACACTGATCCTGTTGCTCGACACCAAGAAAGCGTTCAACAGGGTGAAGTGGCCCTATTTGTTTGCATTGTTGGCGCACATCGGCACCCCTGCTCCATATTTAGCAGCAATTCGAGCAATGTACACAAATGTTAGGGTGCAGATCCGGATCTCAGGAGCTCAGGTCACACCATTTACATTGAGCAATGGCACCAGGCAGGGGTGCACCCTGTCTCCCCTGTTGTTCGTGCTCTCTTTGGAACCACTTTTGCAAGCAATAAGATCCAACTCGGGTATACGGGGGGTAATGGAGGGCGGACAGCAATTTGTGGTATCAGGCTTTGCAGATGATGTGTTATTAACGCATCCTAGGGAATCCATGGCAGCACTGATGGCAGTGTTGGAGAAATATAGCGAACTAGCATGCTACGAGGTGAACTTGAAAAAGTCAAGTTCGGCAGCGAGCACAGGGCACATTGGTCACACTGTCAGGGTATTTATATCGGCAGACATTTTGTGCTACGATAGAAACTAAAAGTGTATATTCTGAGTCACTCTGAACAGACCAGACTCCATTTTGTTATTTTCAAGTTAACAAAAAGACACAAGATTTCTTTCTGTAAGACTAGCCACTTTGCCAGAGCTAAAAGGAATGCATAGTATAAAGAAGTGATAAGAAGAATATAATCAATTCTAAACCCAGACAATTGTGACAGAGAAGATTAAATAATACAATTTAACTGTCTATATATGTAAGGTCCCATTGTAAGTTACGGGTCAAAACTCAGATTGCTAGACACATAGTCTGGACAAAACTTAAATAAACCCTTTGATCTATGAAGGATACGTAAGTTATGGCCACTATCTAGATAGGCCAAAATGACGTCAAAATAGCCACCAGGAAAAGTTAACTCTTTCCTGGATAGGTATGTTTAGTGGGACAAGACTGCCCTCTATAGACTAAATACCTAAATTGCGATCTGGAAGATAACCACACCTCTAGTACTTCTATTGGGTTATCAACTGATGACGTACAGAGAATCTGGCCCTTTAAAAGTTAAGACAAAGGGAAGAAAGGGATGCAGGAGATGCAAAGGAGAAAGAAAAAGAGAGAGAGGAATTGGAAGTTGGGGACTCCAACCTCCATGCAGAGAGACATCCAAATAAGTTCCTGAGACTACCAATCGGATGAAATATCTACTCAACTGGTAATTATACTGGTTTCATTTAATTAATTAAATTAATTAAAATGTATTAATAGCATTATATATATGACTGGATAAAGCACGGTCAGATTTCCATATTAAGAAATCTTAGTTAACTAAGGAATATATAGTTATAAACATTCCATTCTGCAGGTGGAATTAAGAATAATTATATATTGATGTGATATTATCACGTGTTAGCATACCGCTGTTTTTATCCAGGTGTATTGATTTGCTCTAAATTAAGATAAGATATCTTTTAGACAAATTAAAATCTGCTTATATATATGGTAGATTCTCTTATTGGATGGTTCCAGGAAATGACTAATGAACTGGTTTAAATGTATTTTATTTAAAAATTGCATAAGAATAGATCCTAATTATCTAGGAGGTCTAGCCAGCATTGGAAGGGTTATTTTAACTGTCAGCTAAACTTTACGACCTTATGCTGCACTCTGAGGAATTCTGTTCTTCTGTGAAAAGTTTCACTTTCAGTCTGTGTTAAAGATAGTCATAAATAAAGTCTTGACAGGAAATGCTATTTAGCCATTGAAACGTAATACCCATTCCTTTGTATTGCATACCATGTTATACTGGATATTCATTGATTATTGTCACGCATGTTACATATTATTATTATTAATTGATTAAATTGTTATTATAAATAAAAATCTATTTTTATACATTGTGATATTATTTATATGAAATACTTTCACTTACGATAACTACCTTTGGATCTGAGAATTGAATTAGTGGGCAATTCTCACTGTTACTATTATTATCCCATAAATATCCCCACAACACATAGCACATTCATATAGCCCATAATCACCTCAAGTACCTTGCAGTATGCTTGACAGCAGATCCTACCCGATTATACCAACAAAATTAAATTCCTATGATCAGAGCCCTTATTGAGGATATGGAGAAGTGGGTAGACAAACCAATCTCATGGATAGGCAGGATTCACTCCATAAAAATGAATGTACTCCTTAGAATTTTGGTTTTATTTCAAGCTCTACCAGTCCACTTAACCAAATCCAATCTGTCCTCTCTTCAACAGACTATTGGCAAATTCATATGGCAAAATAAAAAGCATAGAGTGTCCCACAATGTCCTATACCGGGCAAAGGTTTTGCCCAATCTATTTTTCTACTATTTAGCAGCCCAAGTGATACAGATAGTCCTGTGGCACTCTCACCCTGGTGGACATTGAGTCTCTGATAATGGGTTCGGATCTAGTACAGTTCTTCTAGGGACGATAGGCCTCCCCTTCGAATGAATTGCCCTGCAATCTTGGTATCACTGGAACTGTGGGACGCTACAGCTTTGAAATATGGCAGAACTTTCTCTCCTTCCCCGATGACACCGTTCTTTAAGAATGGGGCGTTCCCCCCGGGTATGAGAGCCTGCGATTTTAACCCCTTGAGGACACATGACATGTGTGACATGTCATGATTCCCTTTTATTCCAGAAGTTTGGTCCTTATGGGGGTAAAGGCAAAGAATATGCTGGATTGCAGAGACTTTGCCATCTATATGAGAGAGGCTCAATGGTTACCTTTGAGCAACTAAAGACTAGGGCTACTCTAAAATCCTTCAGATGTATTCAGGTATATGCAACTCAGAGATTATGCTCAGGAGGCTCAAGTTAAAAAGGTGGCTACACAGCAGCTAAGATAATAGCTACAAACATTAACAGTAGGGTACATCACGTGATACTCCCCCAAATTAAGTTTTTAAATTTTTAATGTTTTGTTCACATTAGGTAGCACTTTTAGTTATGTTTGAGTCATTTCTGTAGGGTCCTTGGTTTAGGTAGGCACTAGCCTAGTGCGGTGCCGAGCTATTAGGGACAGATTTTCTTTGTGGGGTATAGTGATTTATTTTTTGAAGCATTTTTTGCTTATTTTTCAATACTATTTTGGAGGTAATGCCTCTTTTGCTTGGACCTAGCCCTCTATTTATTATTGGCAAGACTCCATGGGATGGGCTTTCCCATATATCTGTTTATGAGCAAAATCTAGACCACCCTGTGTTTTCATCTCCCCCCCCAACTACAAGGACTTAGTTGCCAGCAGGGTATCCCACCTGAGCATACCTACTCCTGGGCCGTCTATTTGTCCTTATAGGGCTATCCCCTTTACCTGGCACATAGACACGTTTTTATCCTACTTTAGGACCATATGTGGTGGATTAGTGGCTCTATTTTTAGTTTAATAAAGGTTAATTCCCACTTTTTTTTTTGTTTAGCTACTATTCTTTTTAAGGTTGTACTCTTTCACATTCACCCCCTCTGGTGGAGTGGATGTTTGGGATTTTGTCTGTGTTCTATACACAGCAGCTAACTTTCTTCAAAAAAATGTGTATTAGGGAGCAATTCCCGAGGGGCTTGATTACGGCTTTATATGTTCACCTTAGCACCAATACTTCGGATTGGGGGGAGCTAACATAACTACCAGTGGGAAGCTGATTAAGGCAAATCTTTGGAGCGGGTTAAGTGGCAGGAAATTTGGGAAACAAACGCGACCTTATCAATCTGCGTCACTCTACAGGAGCAGTCCTATAAGACCATGTTTAGATGGTACACTACCTCTGTTAAATTATGTAGCATGAATAAGATCCCCATACACTTGTGTGGTGCGGACAAAGGGGAACTTATATCCACATGTGGTGGGAATGTCTAGACGTGCAAAGATATTGGATAAGGCTCAAAGAGTTGTTGAGGGATGTTCTTGGTAAAGCCGTTAAGTTAGACCCTTGGGTGTTTTTATTGGCTAGACCAGTGGTTCCCAACCTTTTTTCACTTGAATACCCCTTGGTAGTCCATTTCCATAAATTGTACCCCTCCCATTAGCAAAATGTTTGTAATTAATATAGTTTATTTTATTTATTTCAAATTTATTTGTTTTTCTCTGTCCCATATCCCCCTTTTCTCTTCCCCAGGCTCGCCCTGCTTCTCCTCTGCCCCAGGCTCTCCCTGCTTATCCTCTGACCCAAGCTCTCCCTGTTTCTCCTCTGACCCAAGCTCTCCCTGTTTCTCCTCTGCCCTGGGCTCCTCCTGCTACTCCTCTGCCCCGGGCTCCCCTTGCTACTCCTCTGCCCCAGACACACAAACTGATACACATGAACAAACACACCTGCAGATACACAGATGCAAACACTGACACACATGCAGATACACACACCGACATACATACAGGTATAGATGTAAAGACACAATGATGCACACACATACAGATAAAACACTGACATACATACACAGACACACAAAAACATACATAGAGATACAAAGATACAAACACTTACACACATACAGACAGACTAAAACCCTGACAGACATGCAATTACACAGACACACAGATACACACACTGACACATATACAGGTAACAGATACACACAATGTCACAAAGATACATACCCTGACACATATGCAGATACAGAGAAACACAGATGCATACCCTGACAAACATACAGATACACACAGATACATACACTGACACACATACAGACACACATACACACTGACAAACAAATACACATTGACACCCATGCAGATGCACAGAGATACATACAGATACACACCCTGACAAACAGATACACACTCTGATACACATGCAGATACACAGACACACATGCAGATGCACAGCGATACATACACTGCCACACATGCAGATACACAGAGATACATACCCTGCCACCAATGCAGATACACAGGGATACATACACTGACACACATGCAGATACACAGACACATATATACATACTCTGAAATACTTAAGGACACATACCCTGACACACATGCAGATACAAAGAAACATAAGGTATGAATCCTTAAGTGTGTCAGTGTATGCATCCATGTGTCTTTGTATCTGCATGTGTGTCAGAGTATTAAACATTAAGTGTGTCAGTGTATGTACATATGTGCCTGTGTATCAGTGTATGTATCTGTGTGTCAATGTGTGTGTCTCTGTATATCTGCATGTGTGTCTGTGTATCTGCATGTGTGCCAGGGTGTGCATCTGTGTGTGTGATACAGACACTGACACGTCTTCATGCACAGATACTTATCCTGACACACAGATACACAGTTACACACCTTGACACACATGCAGATACATAGACACAAAGATTTATACAATGACACTTAAGGATACACACCCTGACATACAGATACACACATATGCAGATACACAGTGTTTGTGTGTGTTGCTCTTTACATGAGGGCTACTCTATGTGTGAGGGGTGCTGTGTTTGTGAAGGATGCTCTGTGTGTGGGGTGCTGTATGTGTGAGGTGCATGGTGTCTGTGTGAGTGAGGGGTGCTGTGTGTATGAGGGGTCCTGTGTGTATTTGTGTGTGTGTGTGAGAGAGGGATGCTGTGTGTGTGTGTGACAGGGGTGCTGTGTGTGTGATTGGTGCTGAGTGTTTGTGAGGGGTGCTCTGTCTGTTTGTGAAGGGTATTGTGTGTGTGGGGGGTGCCTATACATTGGAGGGAGGATAGGAGTAAATTAAATATTTTTTAAAGCACTATTAAAATAAAATAAAATAAAGTATAAATACACTGTATGTCCCCTCTCCTTACCTTTTCCTCGGGGAGGGGGTGCGGTAGAGATGAGCAGCACTACTCTGCCTGCAGGCAATGTTTAGTCCTCCCGCAAGACCCTCAGAAAGTTGCTGTGGTAATCTGCGGCAACGCTCAGAATTGCCGAACTTGCGGGAAGACCTTTCCACCTCCCGGTTCCTCCTTCCCTCCCTCCCTCTCCCGCAGGCTACCTGTCAGTGTTGGTGGGCCGATGAGGGAGATCTTTGATCTCCCCACCGGCCCATGAAGGCACACAGCAGGGCCAGTGCTATGATAGCGCTGGTTCTGCACGGTCGGCCCATGGCCATCGCGGCTCACTGGGTCCCCAACCCGTGCAGCCGCCATTACCTAAATAATTTCGCCTGGGGCACTGAATTGTAACCCTGGTACCCCTGGGCTAGTGGATGAAAATGGAGCAAAAACTTTTACACAAATTAAATTTGGCTGCCAGGAGGACGTTAGCACAAGTTTGGCTTCAGAGGGAGACTTCTTCGGTGGAAGCAGTAGTCCAAAATAATCAAGGACACTTGTCTCAAGGACAAGCTAACGGCCCAGATGAGGGGCACAATGAAGACATTTGAGAAGGTATGAGGCCCATGGATGGCCAGTGATGTAGGCAGCTGAGGGATGGACGGGGTGTGCTCAGATAGATAGATAGTCTTTAGATAGATTGGGGGACTGCGCACTAAGATGGCAGAATAAATTTAACGTAGAGAAATCCAAAGTTATGCACTTTGGGGTCAAGAATGCACAAGCAACTTACACCCTAAATGATAGTGAATTAGGGATAACCACACACGAGAAGGATTTGTGAATTGTTATAGACAACAAATTAGGAAACAATATGCAATGTCAATCTGCAGTTGCTAATGCCAGTTAGGTTTTGTCATGCATAAATTCTCGGTATGAAAATATAATTTTGCCTCTATAAATTGCTGGTAAGAACACACCTTTAATATGCTGTGCAAGGATATCATGGCACTAGAAATAGTGCAGAG